GTTGCTGCCTTTCCCGATCAATGATTTAGTAGAAAGCTAGCACGCATGAGCATTTGAGGCCGTAGAAGCAAGAGGATACTGTTATGAGTTAAGTGAGGAAATCAAGCAAAAGGAATCAATGGAGTGGGCAACCGAGTCATCGAGAGCGGCGATAGGGTGTGGCAGAAGAGCGAGAGATAGGGCAGGCGCGAGGCAGTTACAATTTCATATACTGGCGCTGGCGGAAGGAAAGCGGTGAAATTGTAAAGGGAAGGAAACAAAGGGTTTATGTGCGAAAGGGAGACTGACATGGATAGCTTCAACGTGCAGGGAGGAGTAAGTGGCAGTGGTCCAAATCTAAAAGCCCTTTAATAATTTTATAGATAGATAGATAAAATAAATAAATCAAGAGAGAGAACAATATTTTTATTTTTTTTATTTTTTCTATGTGGCTTGCATTTTAAATTTCATTTAATGCAAGCTTGCATATTTGCAATTGCCCACTACATTGGTGCAATTCCCTTTACAATTGCATATTGAGTGCCATGTAGGATTTGCAATTGAGCAAATACCATTGATGTGGATGCTCTAATGGCATTTTTAGGTGGTAACAGTTAGTCCGTTATCAATTTAAACCGATAACGAGAGTAGTTTTTACCCATAATTGAATTTTTTTAGCGTTTTGGTTTTGTTTAGCTGTATTTTGTTTACTGGTTAGTTAAAAAGAAAATTTAGAACCGCCTATTAGTATAACCACATAGTTTTTGGCTTCGGCTAAAAGAAAAGGTTTCAATATTCAAAACCAACTAAAGTAACAATTTTAAATATCTCAACTCACATCCATTGCAATCAACCCTTCGTCAAACTTCTCAAATAAGTTTACCATATCGTTTGGTATAAATGAATTCCATAAGTTTTGAGGAATTCATTTTGAAAAGAAATTTTGTTGTGTTTGGTATTTAAAGGAATTCATTTTCAATTCTAAATTTTGGATTCTACAAAATTGGAACTAGTTATAGTTATTCCGAGTAATTGAGATGAAATTTTAAATAAATTCTGCAAGTACATTACTAATTATAGTAGAATAAAATAATTATACTTATTTATTAACTAAATTACTTCGCGCCAATACACAGATTATGCATGTCTAACCGTCCTCTTTCCGCCCGGTATGTTAACCTAATATAGGGACCGATTACTATGACAACACCGTTTGTGTTGTTATTGTAACAACACTAGTCTCCAACCAATAGGAAGCTAGGGTTGTGATGACTTTTTATTAGATGAGTTGACCTAGTGTAAAATCAAAGCAGGGGTATAATTGTCATTATGAAAAATATGTTTAAATAATAATAAAAAAATAATTTTTTTTTTATTTTTGGCCCAAAATTTTGGTCGTCGGAATTCTGCCACCGGTCGCCGGTCACCGGAATATGCTTTTGTCGCCGGAATATGCTATTTTGTCATCAGAATATGCCACCGTCGCCGGAATATGCTCACCGCGGTCGGAATATGCTTATCGGCGTCGGAATCTAGTCATCGGGGCCGGAATATGCCTATCGGCGTCGGAATCTGCTAACCGACGGTCACTGGAGTTTGGTCAACGAACTTCGTTGACCGGTCAACGACCACCGGATGTATGGTCTACATTGTGAGATTTATGGTTTGGTTTCTCATATTTTCGTATGCCTTTTGTGGTTTGCTTTATCGTGTTTGTGGTTTGCATTGAGAAGTTTCTGGTTTGCTTTCAAAAAATTTGTGGTTTGCATTGAGGGGTTTCTGGTTTGTTTTAATACATTTGTGGTCTGCATTAGGACGTTTATGGTTTGCGTTTTTGTGGTTTGATTTACTATGTTTGTGGTTTGCATTAGGAGGTTTCTGGTGTGCTTTCGCAAATGTTGTGGTTTGCTTTGTGGGGTTTCTGGTTTGTTTTAGGGGATTTGTGGTATGCATTAGGAGGTTTCTGGTTTGCATTAAGAAGTTTCTGGTTTTTTTATAGCATTTTGTGGTTTGCATTAGGAGGATTCTGGTTTGTTTTAATATATTTGTGGTCTACATTAAGACGTTTTCTGTTTGCTTACCGTGTTTGTGGTTTGCATTAGGTGGTTTCTGGTTTGTTTTTTTGTGGTTTACTTTACGGCGTTTGTAGTTTGCATTATGAGGTTTTTGGTGTGCTTTCGCAAAATTTTTGGTTTGCTTTGTGACATTTGTGGTTTGTTTTAGGGGATTTGTGGTATGCATAAGAAGTTTTTGGTACTTTTTTTTAGTTCGGTTTACCGTATTTGTGGACTGCATTAGAAGGTTTCTGATGTAATTATGAGATACTTGTGTTGTACATACCAATAAATTCCAAATACATAGTATAAACACAATAACCCGTAAAAAAAATCGAAAAGCACGATCCTCATGAACGTTGTTGTCAACTTCGATAATCTTGGATCCAGCCAAGAATTTGGCTAGAAGAAGCATCATTGTGACGATGCTTCAAGCACAATAGTGATTTCACCGTAATAGAGCTGTGATATGCTTCAATACATGATTATTATTGGCTGGTGAAGGGTTATAAAGTAGGAGATGAACATGCCATCTGATTCATGACCTTCCACTTCCAGGTGGAGTGAAGCAATGGACAGTGGCTCCCCCATCAACGGCAACAGTCTGGCCGGTAGTATAAGAGGCCGCCGGAAGGCAGAGGAATGCAACCAACCCTGCCGCCTCCATCGGCTCTCCAATTCGTCCCATGGGAGTTCGAGCTCTCACTGCCTTTGAGAACTCCTCGCTCTCAAAGTACTGCAAAACACAACATAAAACCAAACGCTACATTACAACATTTCAATAGGTGCTGCAAAACCAACTTCATAAATCTCCCCATTCCACTTAAAAACAGAGATTTTTCAAGCCATGGTATTCCACAAAACACTATCTCCCCATTCCACTTAAAAACAGAGATTTTTCAATCTCTTAAGAGCTACAGCAGATTTCCAGAAGAAAGCTTCCCGTAGGGAAGGGATTATTGAAAGGGAATTGGGAGGGAGAAGGAGAAGGTCAGCAGCTGATGTTACTCACTCTTCCAATTCATCGACAAACGCTACTTCTTCCATCTACCGGTTAATTGTCGCTGATTGCCACCATCACTATCACTGCCGCCTCCAAAACGCCCTTATTGAGACTCAGACGACCACCGTTCCGTCTCCGTTCGGCACTAATGTTCGTTGGTAGCGCTACCTTGCGGTTTGCCACCGCAATCGATGTCGTCGTTGCAGGGTTGCAGAATGGTTTCTGCTTGCGAAGAAGGCAGGTGGGAAGAATTATCCGCCGGGTGCTACCAGGCTCTCTAGCGGCCTTCAAAGGCCCGCGGCGGCAAGAAAGAGTTCAGCAGATGAGAGATACAGAAGAATAGGGATTCTCCAATCGAGGATGAACAGAGACCACTGCCATCTCAGCCACGATCTGCCATCGATGAAGAAGACCGGCACAGAAATCGAGGCGGCAAAGAGACGAGATCTGGTAGAGAGCTCCGACGGGAGGATGATTTGAACGGTGACAAACTCAATTTTGCGGCGCCACCGCTGCGGTTGTTCTGAAGGAGAGAGCTCTCCGACGAAGGATGGACGGAGTCGAGGTATTTGAGCGGAGAGGGAGAGTTTCCATCGTCACTTTATCAATTTTTATATTATATTTGTTATATTTGTCAGTTTACCCTTTTACCCTTGTTGTTACTATAACAACAGGTAGAGAGAGGTGTCAATCGGGCGGGTTCGGGCGGGTTAGGGCTGGGTTCAATCGGGTTGCGGGTTGGTCGGGTTGCGGGTCGATCGGGTTGTGGGTTGGTCGGGTTCGGGTTCATCGGGTTTCGGGTCAATCGGGTTGCGGGTCAATCGGGTTGCGGGCCAATCGGGTTACGGGTCAATCGGGTGCGGGTCAATCGGGTTGCGGGTCGGGCGGTTCGGGTTGCGGGTTTCACGATACTGATATTTCGTGGTTGAACCGCCGGTACGGTACGATTTAATGTACCATGGTCCATGGAAATTGGCATAATGAACAAAAGTACAAAACAAACATTAATAACCAACACCTTCACCTGCACGTAAGCCAAACAGGCAAAGGCCCTGATGGTGGTCATGAAATTTTAGAATTGGCGCCTTCACCTGGGAAATGAAAAGAGTTTGGCGCCTGATGGTGGATTGGTGGTCATGAAATTTTATAGAAATGGCAAAGGCGTTTTGGCGCCTGATGGTGGATTGGTGGTCATGAAATTTTATAGAATTGGCAAAGGCCCGGGAAACGAAAGACTATTTGGCGGGTTATCAAAATGAAACGGTTTTCTTAATTTCTATTTTCTAGCTATTGGTGAGGGTATTATCTTCCCGTTCTATGATTTTATTTTAGATGGGATCTCGTTCTATGATTCACATGTAATAATAATGAGGAAAATATGGATCTTGTTCTAGATGGGAAGAGAAGGCTAAAATACACGTAAATAAATTGTCGTGATTATAGTTATATAATCAATTACGGAAAATTTTACCGTGAATATTAGTATACTTCTTAGTGCGGGAAACACTACCGTGAATAAGATCCCGTGACTAAAAACTAGTTTTCCTGTAGTGCTTATACCCTAACCCATTAGACTAACCATATCCCTATACATCGACTCTATAGTCTATATACCCTAAACCCCTAATGGTTTGATTCATGAACATATGTTAATAAGAAAAGTTTATCTTATTAGTTATGATTTTGACTAACCATGGTCAAACCATTAATATCTTATACCCTAACCCATTATATACCCGTTACACTAACCATATACCCTATACATCGACTCTATAGTCTATATACCCTAAACCCCTAATGGTTTGATTCATGAACATATGTTAATAAGATAAGTTGATCTTATTAGTTATGATTTTGACTAACCGTGGTCAAACCATTAATACCTTATACCCTAACCCATTATATACCCGTTACACTAACCATATACCCTATATATCGACTCTATAGTCTATATACCCTAAAGGCCTAAACCCCTAATGGTTTGATTCATGAACATATGTTAATAAGATAAGTTGATCTTATTAGTTATGATTTTGACTAACCGTGGTCAAACCATTAATACCTTATACCCTAACCCATTATATACCCGTTACACTAACCATATACCCTATACATCGACTCTATAGTCTATATACCCTAAACCCCTAATGGTTTGATTCAAGAACATATGTTAATAATAAAAGTTGATCTTATTAGTTATAAGTTATTATTTTGAGTTTTTGACTAATTGTGCCTAATTTAAACCCTATTATATACCCTATACGGCTATACACCAACTAATATTAATACCTTAATTTAAACGGCAACTAAAAAAAATAGACAGTTAATAAAAAAAAAAATCTTCACTGGGTTTCGAAACACTAACCTTTTGCTTACTAATCAATAATTCACCAAACACCCATTAACCAACTCTGCTACCTCACATTTTGATACTTTGTGTTTTATTTTAACTTTTAACATCTACACTCGAAACTCAAAACTAAATGCAAAGAAAGAAGAAACTTCATTTGTCTCGTTCCATAACCATTTGCGAATTGCGATTTGAGCCTGCTCGGCTGCTCCCAGAAAGAAAGAACCCTAAAATTCCATAACCATTTGTTCTAGCCGCCGCCTGCCATACCCGACCGCCGACCCTCTCCTTCGTCTGTCGGTCCTTCGTCTCCGAGTCAGGCCTTCTCCGAAATTCCATAACCTCCGACCCTCTCCTGCTCGGCTGCTCCCAGAAAGAAAGAACCCTAAAATTCCATAACCATTTGTTCTAGCCGCCGCCTGCCATACCCGACCGCCGACCCTCTCCTTCGTCTGTCGGTCCTTCGTCTCCGAGTCAGGCCTTCTGCGAAATTCCATAACCTCCGACCCTCTCCTTCGTCGCCGACCCTCTCTGCTGTCAGGCCTTCGTCGCAGCGACGACTTCCCCGAAATCTCTGACCTCCTCTGCTGTCAGGCCTTCGTCGCAGCGACGACTTCCCCGAAGGTAACTCAGATTTCCGTGAACTGGGTGCTTACTGCTGTTGGTTTGACTGTTTGATTTCTCCGTCGGGCAACTGATGAATGCTGTCCTGTGGAGAATGGCCATGGAGAATGGCTGGATAAAACTACTGATTATCTTCTGCCTTAACTTTATCTGTAATTTGGCTGTTCATATGGTAAGAACCGAAGCTGAGCTTCCTGATCAGCACTGGTAAGAACCGGTGCTGCTTGTATTCAGTACTTTACCTGATTTGGTAACTGTTAATAAATTAATTTGGTGTTCTGATTGTTTGTCTCCATTCTGCTGTTGTGAATTTGCAGACATGGATCCTAATAATTCGGGAAGTGGTGTTGGTAGTACTACTGGTTCTAGCCCTTCTTCACCCCCTAAAAAGAAGGCTAATTCTCGCCGCACATCGGAAGTGTGGGACGATGTAGAACTATTTAATGTCGTTGATGACGATGGAGTTCTTCTGGAGAAAGGAAAGTGCAACTTTTGTGGGAAGATATATAAGGCGGAGTCAAGGCTTGGCACATCTACTCTGAAGCGACATATTGCGGTATGTAAGAAACTCCACCAACCATCAGATTTAAGGAATGAGTCTACTGGTCCCAATTGCATAACTCAGGAAGGTTTTCGTGAGAAATTAGCTATATGCACAATTTCACATGATTATGTTTTTAGATGTGTTGAACATAAAGGAAATAGAGATGTGCATAGCTATTTGAATGGTCAGGCTAAACCTATTTCAAGGAATACACATAAATCTGACATTGTGAAGATCCATGAAAGAATGAAGGAGGAGTTAAAGTCTAGCTTGCAAAAAATTTCTAGTCGTATTTGTTTGACTAGTGATATGTGGACTTCATTGACAACTAGAGGATTTATATGCTTGACGGCTCATTATGTTGATGATGAATGGAAACTGAATAGCAAGCTATTGAGCTTTACTCATCTTCCTCCTCCACATTCCTCTTATAGAGTGAAGACGACCATTTATCGTATGCTCAGAGAGTGGGGTATTGATAACAAGATCTTCTCTATCACCTTGGATAATGCTAGCAATATGACTAACATGCAAAATGAATTACGTGATCAGTTGAATGGACAAAATGGATTGTTGTGTGATGGCAAGTTCTTTCATATACGTTGTTGTGGGCACATATTGAATCTTATTGTCCAAGCTGGATTGAAGGTGATAAAAGATGGTATTAGATCTGTGAGAGAAAGTGTAAAATATGTAGAAGGATCTGAAGGAAGGAAAATTAAGTTTAAGGAATGTGTTGAGCAAAGTGGGATGAAACAAACAAGGTCTTTGTGGTTGGATGTGCCAACAAGATGGAATTCAACTTATAATATGCTTGAGAGGGCAAATCATTATCGTCAAGCATTTGTAAACTTAGCAAGGATGGATTTCGAGTATAATGAATGTCCATCATCTGAAGATTGGGAGAAGATAGAAGTGCTTATAAAATTCTTGAAGCCTTTTGATGAAATCACAAAGTTATTCTCTGGAACTAAGTACCCGACTAGTAATCTGTTTTTTGAGAATGTTTGGAAGATTCATCTTGAGTTGAGGCTTCTTTGTACAAGTCTAGATGATGATATACGTGCTATGGCAAATGCAATGATGTTGAAATTCTTGAAGTATTGGAAAGACTACAACTTGGTGCTTGCTTTTGGGGTTATTTTGGACCCTCGTTATAAGGTTGCTTTTGTGAATTATTGCTATGAAAAGTTGGGTGGAGAATATGTTTCAAAAGTCGAGGATGTTGTGGATGATTTGGAGTTGCTTTTGGAAGAATATAAGAATCAATCGGCCACTTCAGCTACTCAAAGTGGTGTGTCTATGACTTCTCCAAGCGTTCCCTTGGACAATTACACTGCTGTAAGTATTTGTTTGTTGCTACATTTATGAATTATGTTATTGTGTTTTGGTCTTTGGTTAATTATTTGTTTTGATTCATGTACCAGCTAACTGTAAAGAAAATGATGAACATGCTTATGTGTTAATAACTTAATATCAATGATATCTATATTTATTGTTTGTAGGGGTTTTATGCATCCAATATCAACCACAATACGTCAACTAGTTCTGAGTTGCAATTGTATTTGGCTGATCCTTTGATACCTGCATTTGGGGACATTGATGGAGTCTCTAAGCTACTTCCTTTTGATGTCTTGCAATATTGGAAGGACCATCAATTTCGATTTCCTCACCTCTCTAAAATGGCAAAGGATGTACTTTCTATTCCAATTACATCAGTTGCATCAGAGTCTTCTTTTAGTTTGGGAGGAAGAATATTAACAAAATGGAGAACTTCGATTTTGTCTGATACTCTTGAAGCTGTTGTGACAACTCGTAATTGGATACGAGGATACCAAATGGGTAAGAAAAAACAAATTGTTATCTTTGTACTGAACAAACTATTCTCTTTTCCTTATTATTTTCCTTTCACTGATTAATTGTACAGATGACGATGATGAAGATACGAGGGATGATGGAGAAGAAGTAAAGCTTCTAGAGTGATCGTCATTTGGAATGTCAATTTGTTGTTTGGACATGTTTTATTGATATTTGAGGTCTTGAGACAATATGAACTATTATGAGTCATGTATTCTTCTTGTTATGATCAGACTTTTGTGAACTATTATTAGTCTTTTTTATGATAGGACCATGATATTTGGATTTTAAATCTTATAATTATCTTATTATGCTAAACTAATATTTTATAATCTTATGTGGACTATTAGGTTGATGATGTATCTAAATCAATATATTTGATGATGTTATATGAGTTAATAGGTTGATGATGTATATTATTATACTAAGTTAATAACTAAAGATGTAATGATAAGACTTTAGTGAACTAGGATTTCAAATGTCAACTTATAGTTTATCTTCATCGAATTCCTTCTATTATAGTTGGGCCGCGGGTTGGTCGGGTTCAATGCAGTCAAAATCTAGATTTTAAGTAAAATCGAAAACTGCGGTAGAATCGAAATCGTAGATTAAAATCGTAAAATCGTAAGATTTTAAGGTTCATATTAAAATAAATACTTAAAACACTAGATAGTAATAAAAATGCATATCTTTAATAACAGTCAACTACATGAAGCATAATTACTTCCCAAGATAAGTTTGTTTGCTAAACAAACACAACTAATCCATATATTTTTCTTGTACATAATAGAAACACACAAATAAGAAACCTGAAACATTATAGATATCACTGTTAATTAATTGTTAAGAGTAGAAAATCACATAAGATCGTTAGGATCAACATTAACATCACTTACACATCATCGTCATCATCCTCAACCTCACCCTCACTCTCATCGTTTTTATTTGTTTAAGGACTAATATCATTACTCTTATGATCACTTGAAGTACTTTCACCATTAACCATATTTCCTTGATTACCATCATCTGGAAAAGATAACTCATTGATCGATGCATTCCCTTCTTAATTGATAAAAGGTCGGGTTAGTGGTGCTGAAGGATTGGGAGATGAACAAAAGCTTGCAATGTAATGGAGATTTGGATTATTGTGAGGGTGGTGGGAACAAACTACAAGCTAATTGGGAGGGTGGAAGATATCGTTGATGGAAGGAGTTGGGCGCCGACGTGCGAAAAAGGAAGATACGAGGAAGAGAATGACAATAAATTGAGGGTTAACTATCAGGTTGGGGTTGTGTTGTTCATTATGTTGGATTGGGGAAAGTAAATTTGACTCGGTTCATGGGCATAACCCAACTTGACCGGTCTAATTTTGATCCAATTGATATGAACCTTGAAATCGTACAAAATCATAGAAATCGTAGATTTTATGGATTTTAGAGTTTTAAATCGAGATTTTATGGGATTTTAAGGTTCAAAGATTTTACAGTAAAATCAGGATCGGAACCCATAGGTAAGATCGTAAAATCGTAAGATTTTAATATTAAAATCGGGATTTTGACTACATTGGTCGGGTTATGGGTTCGGGTTAGTCGGGTTGCGGGTTAATCGGGTTGCGGTTCGATCGGGTTGCGGGTTGGTCGGGTTGCGGGTCGATCGGGTTGCGGGTTGGTCGGGTTGCGGGTCGGTCGGGTTGCGGGTTGGTCGGGTTGCGGGTCGGGCGGGTTACGGGTCATTGACTTTTAGTCAAATCGGGTTGCGGGCGGGTTGTGGGTCGGGTTGATCGGGCGGGTTACTCGGGTCGGGTTACATTTTGACAGCTCTAGGTAGAGTGTTGTTATTCTATCCGAGCCCCCTAATATATATTCCTCCTAAACCCTCAATTGAAGGTGACTCCAAATTCCATTACGAGGACTAAGCGGCAATATTCTATTTGGCAATAAGACCAACTCTCCTGCTATTTCCAAATGCTTAGATAATAACTTTGTTATTTGTGTTTTTTAGAAGATGAATTTTCAATGAATATTGTGTCTGTCAGAAATTAATAAGAATGTAGTTGGAAACTTTTAATTTAATTCAATTATGAATGTATGCCAACCATAATTTGGGAATTCAAATTTATTTTATTTCTAAAATTCGAAATATGACATACCAAATATAAGAATTCATTTGAAAATCTAACCGCTAACCGAAAACAAGTGGTTAACCAACAAGTTTTATCATTTCAGTTTTCGATATTTATTTTGTACTTAATAATTAACTGAAACCGAACCGATTAGCACCGCTAGGCATTTTAGAGCACCCAACTGGCTGATACGACAGCCATCTGGGCTATTACCAACAACTTGTTCATCATTAAAGATAGAAGGAGGCCGATTAAGGGCTAGTAAGGGTGAGAGCTAGCTAGCAAGTCTCTCTGTTCATGCTTGCGGCTAATGTAATATATGGAGAAACCTGACACAGATAACTCTTCCATCGTAACGGAGTTCAGCACACGAAGCTAACAGGCCAACCCATAACAGTAAGCAGCTGATACAATCATACAGATTGGCTTTCTGAATGAATAACTGTAAAGGGCTGCTGATGTTTTTATGGAGTCGTCCTTGCAAAATGCAGTACAAAACTTGTGTTCATGGTTATACATATTCCCTTCGAAATGGAAAACCAGGAAAACACGACCAACGACAGAACAGATCTGAGGCAATTCTTCTGATATCCATGTATGAATCACAGAATCATTCTTTGGGCTCGGCTGCTTTTGCTGGCTTTGCCATAGAACCATGCCTGAGAAATATGCCCCAAAAGGCCAAAAACACATCACAAATGAGATAATCACTTCATGGCAATCTATCATTCATGAATTATGGTCACAGATTACACCCACCTGATCTTGCGTGACAACTGATACAACCCAGTTCCAGCCAGACACACATTCACACTCAACAAGTTCCAATTTTTCTGCAGATATGCATGTCCAGTGATGAACAGTCAGAAAACACACAACTAGTTTCTTGCAGATCAGTTCATATTATACTCCAAAAACAGAAGAACAGGATTGATTACATACCGGGGTAATGGCCATGCTGTATCGAGACCATATAACACCAGTGGCCACAACAGCTGCATCAAAAAGATTACGTTTGTCAGCAACTTATAACCTCAATGAGAAAGCAGAATTCATCCATTTGATTAAAAAACACAGAGATGGATATATTGTATACCAAGCTGCTGCGGGTAAGAGACCATGTCTGGGGGCTTGACGAAGTCTGCAACGTTGGCAAGGCTGATTGCCCATTTGAAAGTGGGCGCCCAGAAATGAACTGCATACATTATCAGGTTGTACACTATTATCTCCTCATATTCATTCTTCCTCCACCGCATATTAATTACTGGGGCGTTTAACTAGCAGGGGAAACTTGTTTGCTGTTCTGTTCTGTTCTATTCTGTTAATCTCCTTGGTACTAAACAAGGGGAACACTCGAAACCCTAATAATAACCCTAATCCCACGGCCAAAAATGAATCCTAATCCTGTTAAAACTCGTATAATAAACAACCCATCTTCCTCAATTCTCTCCCACAGCATGTAGTGCCCTACCCAGAAAACAATTACAGTTAAAATGATTATTGAAGAGGAGGGATTTGAGAGATTAGCGAAAGAAGGGTTGGCTACTAACTGGTTTTAGGGCCGGCAGGGTGGTTCCAGAAAGATTGGAGTTTTGCAGATGGCTGCACCATCATGATCCTGATTCTCTTCTATGCTTCTTATTCTCTGTTGTGCATGCGCTTGCAATTTTTTTACGAAAATTTGCCTAATGAGGTGGAGAGAGGGAGAGTCTGGCATTTCTTTGTTTTCTTTTTTCTCGTTCACTTTTACCGGCAGCTAGCTACGTGGGTAGCGGTTGAATTAGAGTGAAAGAAAGAGTGGACTAAATCTCTTCCAATTCTGGGTTCTTCGCTTCAAACTCGGACTTGGAGCAGATGATCACGGGAAAGGTCTTACCAAAAAACGGAACAGCAAATATAAATATAAAACTAATTAATACAATTTTTTTGTCAAACAATCATGTATCTACACATCCCTCTATAATATAGAGCATTTCAAATTCCTTGCACTCTCCTTAATTATAGCAAGGAGTAAATTTGCAAGTTCAATTTAGAACTTAGGGTTCGTTTGAAAATTGTGATTGTTAGATTTGTGTTTATTGAATACATGTATTGTGCACAATACAATGTTTGGAAGTGTCAAATTGTTAAACAATGCAAGCATTTTGTTTTAGGTAGGTCCCACCAACAATCACAAAAAATAGATTTGTGTCAACCTTTTCTTTCCATTTATATCTCCAATAGTTTTTGTCTTATTATAAAAGTTGACGGTAAATGTGACATTTCCCCGTAAAAGTAACTTTATGTAAATCAATGCATAAAATAGAATATAAACAACCAAACAATATATTGTTAAAATGCATCCATTGTATCAATACATGCATTTATATTATGGTGATTCATTATAATGCAACGATTTAACATTCCAACTTCTAAGGGGTCGTTTGGTTTTGGTGATAGTTAAATCGATGTATTGTCATCAATGCATGCATAATAATTTACATGTACACAAGAAAATTGGTGTGTTGTAGTTTACATCATTTGGTTTCTGTGATAGTTATTGTAGTATTTAAATAAATTATATCACTTTTTGGGTGAAATGTCACTTTTACCCTTTGTTTTTAATATATAAAAGCAACACACATAAAAGGTAGGGACATATTTGAAAGAAGAAGAAAACACAACAATATCCATCAAACAATCTCAACGAAAAGTTGAGGTTTAAAATCAAGCAAACAATGATTGTATTGTTTGCGCAGAAAATTCAAAAAATGATGCATTGTGGACATTACATGCATTATAACTATTACAACCAAACTATCACCAAAACCAAACGACCCCTAAGTTAAATATTTTCTTACGAGAAAAAAATGTCATTACAAAGACTTGAACTCAAGTCCTTTAGATTGATAGTCAATATGCCTAACCAACTGGACTACAACAATGTTTATATATTTTTTGAACTAAAGAGAGAAAATACTGAAATATCTCAACTTCATAGGACTATCCACCGCAACAATCAATCATCGAATTAATTAATAACTGTAATTATTTACAAAGTGAATCATCATGATATACCTAAGTGAGTTCCTGTAATCACACAATTCTTCACCAAAAATCAAATAGTACATTTTGAGTTTATGTATGTCTTACAACTTTTACATTTATTAGGTTACATGACTTTGTAGTTTGTAGGAATACAAGAATTGTTTACAAAAAAGTGCTATACAAAATTTTATTTCAAAACATAAAATTTGACAGTTGTGATCTATGGTTTTGTAACGAGACATTTTCAATTCTATATGTGAATGACCAAAAATCATTGGCTAACAATCTCCCTAATGATTGATAATTATAAGCATAGAATTGAAAGACTAAATACCATTGACAAATGAGCCAATTATCATTGACTAAATTTTACAAACAATGGTATGTGTATATACATTGGAAATTCTATGGTACGCTCGATGGATTGAGGGGTATTGCATCTCCTTAGTTAAATAACATTATCTAGACCATAGATTAATCATGTAACTAAACCGTATATCATAATTCTCTAAATTCTAATATAGTGCATATGGTATGTTATATACATCTTGGCGAATCAGAATCATTGATTATGTTCTTAGTATATGTGATATTAGGATTTAAGTTCTATATATTTAGGGTATATGATTTAATTATTTGAAACTTAATACCCCTTTTCAAATTTCCTGCAATGAGAGGGAAATTAGGAAGGACATTTTTGTCTTCACAATTATCTGTATTTTTTATTTATTTACAGAAAAAGATAGACATATTGAGATTTGAACCATGGTCACTTCAAACATAGTGAAGGTTTAAAATCAATAAGACTATGTAGATTTGTTGTATTTTTTAAATTAAAAATATATACGAAGCTAAAATATGACTCAAGAACTTTTCAACAGTAAATATTCCGTAAGTACTTATTTGGTGTTTTGATACTTCGATTTTGATATTTTTTATTTTAATTATAGTTTAGTACTTAATATAAAATTTTATATATCTTATAAATAGACGATAACCATAAATTTGCAACCAAAATATTGTTGGTTCGAATATTTCATATCGAATTATAGTATTGTATATGCAGAAGTGATATAGAATTCTTAAATTACCATTAATTTCCAGAACTATAGTGAAGCAACCATATCTTTGTGCAAACTATAGGGATCTGGTTCTCTGAACATTTTTGTCCGGTTAAATACTAATTTTTGAAACTCTTCCTAGGGGTGTAAGTGGGTCGGTTCGTTTGGGTTTAGATATTTTAATCACCTAACTCATATACCATGATTTTGAAAACACTAAATACAAACTCACCCAAATAATTTAGAATTTTAACGGTTTGTGTCCTCTATACCAAATGAACCAATTTACATGTCGCTCAACTAAGGGCGATCTCATTGTCCAATCCCATCATTCTAACGTCAATCCATAAATGTAACCCATATTCGCGTTTGTTAACACATGTTTTACATTGTCATTACTGTGATCGATAACTTCACTGCAACTGATTCGGTATTTCTCATCATATGGCCTCCAAACTGAAAAACATATCGGGCCAGCAGTTTTATGACAAAACTCAAAGTGAAGACAACTCATCGTTTGGTGATATTTTGGGGCTTGCTGGTGTCCATTAATCTAATTGCAAGCATAATGATTGCTAAAATTAAGCTTTCACGCAACACACTGGGAGTTGGGGTGTGAACTTGGAGTAAAAGTTGATATTGGGTTTGGGAAGGGAAGTGGTGAGAGGAAGAAATTGTGTTTGGATTTGGTAGCAGGTAAAGTTCATGTTTTGGTTTCTTTTCGTAAAATGCTTTGATTTATTTTAGTTAGAGGTATAATATCATGGTTATGTGGGATCAAATGGACCAAAAATGAGCTTGGAGGATGGGAATTCCAACTTAGAAGGACTGGATTAGATTTTGATAAACTCAAGTTCATGATTAACTGAAAGAATATTTAGATTTAGACTTTGTGGTATTGAGATGTTCATAGAGAGTTTAAAACTGATCCAAGGCCATTGATTGATATTGGTTAGTTGATTGTGATTTTGAGGAAGGTGTATAAAAAGTCATGGAAGTAGTTTGCAGCAAGTGAAGGCAATAAAGAGGTAGTTGGTCAGGGTAGTGATTGAACCAATGAGGGTATTGAAAGACATAGAAGCAAAATCGGAGCAGTTGAAGAGAGAGAAGTGGTAGATGATCAGAATATTAATGAAAATGGAGAGGGTATTGAAGGGAATGGAAGTGAACTGGATCAGGTGAAGGCAGAGAAGGATGAAAAGAGCATATTGATGGAATTGAAGATGAGTGTTGGTTTTACGAGCTTATTAAAACTGCCCCGAGGAAGATGAGTTGGCCAAATACAAGAAAGAGGACCGAGGAGTTGGAGATCAAGCTGACAAGAAACTCAATTGAAAGAGAAATTCAGGTTCATGGAGAGAAGGTCCATCAAAGTAGCATAAATGGAGTTGCAGAAGGAGGATTATAAATTGAATTTTGGTTTAAAACATGTACGTCGAAAGATTGAAGATGGAGGGGATAAAAAGGTGGTCGTACAATGGAGAGTGGGAACTATTGGATCTTTAGGTGTTATGGTTGTTGCAACTACCACAACCTATGTTTAGGTTAAAACGAGGAATCATTGATTGATTTACTAAAATTAAGGTTGATTCACTATTCAAACTACTGGAACCTGCAGATAAGGAGTGACTAATTTTGTGCCTCATTACTTTGATAGAATCTATTAGTATATTGGATGTAACTTTAATTTTGTCATTTGCTCTCAAGTTTTGATGGTCTCTTAGTTGAGTTGTTAGCATATGATTTACTTGAATCAACAACTCTTCATTTCTATTTTTTATAAATCCATTTATTTTTTATTAGTGGCATGTTATTCATAGAAGAGAGCTTTGAACCATTTATGTGGGATTGTGAGGTTTCATTTCAGTTTCAAACTATCTATGGATCGTGTGGGAATTCCAATGAGCTTTTATATTATATATTTCTGGACAATCTATTAACCAATATCATTTTAACGGGGGCTCAATTATTATTATGAAAATGGGATTAATGATACATTTTTTACATTTTTAAATGAGGAGGGTATTTTCCTGAATTTTCGACCTATATATTCATTCTTTATGTAGCATCTCGATTGAATGATTTTCAATAAACTTAAACGAATTAATAGACTTAAGCATAACATAAAAATATAAATATTAAAATATGAACATTTCGGCCAACGGGCCGGGATATAAGCTAGTAATATAATAGCACAAAGAGAAAAATTGTTGCTCCATTTCAAATTTCCTGCAATGAGAGTGAATGTAGGAAGAAATTTTCGTCTTCACAATTACTTATTTATTATTTATTTATTCATAAAAAAACATGTATTGGGATTTGAACCATGGTCACTTTAAAAAAAAGTAAGGATCATAACCAATCACACTAAGTATATTTGTTGTATCTTTTTAAATTAAAAACATACATGAACCTAAAATCATAAAATCATATGACTTTTTCGACGATTAGTTGGTCACTGTATTTTCCATAAGTACTTATTTGGTTTTGATACTTTGATTTTCATATTTTAATTATTTTAGTTGTATTTTAATACTTAAATTTAAATTTCTATCTATCTTATCTACGCATAATATAATAGCAGCAAGGAAAAAACCCTTTCCCCATTTCAAATTGGCTGCTCCTAGAGCATTTGTAGTAAGGGTAGAATAGGTAGAGCTAATTTTTTTCTCTTTCCTCTATGGAACGGGCCAACTTACCGTACACGCGCAAACTTGAACGGGCCAGTGATTGTTGCGGCCCACAAAAAGAGAATAGGTTTCAGCCACAAGCATATGTTCGGCCAGACTTAAGATACACAATTCGTGGGTTCCAAGCCCACGTTCACGCTCCAATCCGCAAAAATGCGAATTTCTGGCAAGTCGTATACAATTCGAGAATTGATTTTGGCCGGAGCGCGGATTTGTTGTGGGAGAACGCAGATCCGATTAAAACTACCCTTTTGCGTAGAGTTTGAAAAGAAACTTTGACCCATTAATTGGGTGAATGGATGAAATAAGAGTAGACTCAATGAGAAGCAAGAACACTGCAACCATCGGCTCTAAATGGATGAAGGATATTGCCGATTAATTGAGGTCGGTCGAGCTAAAAATGAAAGAACTACTAACGAGTAGTGAGATAGAGCTCTGGGATTATAGAGATACTTCGTTCTAGAGGAAACAAGGAGTTCCGGAGTTGGAGAGATATGACGACCAGTAGTCGACGCCGAACAGGAAGAGCCGGCACCTTTGAATTGAGGAGAATCATCCACCGTCTCGATGCTTCTGGTTGCTGGATATTATTGTCTTTTCTGTTTTTACATCAACGTAACTATAGACTTGTAGAAGTACTGGGGATGGAAAGCCCAAAGACTATTTACTAATAATCTTGGACTTTAATTTAGATTTTACTCGAATTCCAAATTGTTAAATTTTATGACTGGAAAAAATGGAATGAAGGATTAATACAATCTAAATGCAATATTGTGAAAATATACCCTTTTCATATTATTAAACCTTTATCCATTAATATTTTATTGTTTATATATTGTTAATATAAACAAAATGAATGATATTTTGTATAGTAATTGTAAATTATATTAATATAAAATAATTATATATAATGTAATAATGACGCTCTCATCACGCTTTCAACTTTAAGTTTTTCTGAAATAGGTGCTCTTGCGCTCTCGCTCCACAACCTAGTTACCTAAGGACGGACTGATCGCCCACTCCCCTGCCGCATCTATCCTTCTTATCTGCAAGCCAGTTGCGGATCGACAAGTGATTTTCAACAAACTCACCGCCTGTACCGACCTTCTACACCGATTCCGGTTCTTCACGGTCAATTTCATATGAAGTGCGTGCTTCTTCCCGTTTTGGTGACGATTCCTCCACTTCTTAGCCCGATCGGAAGCTATTTCCATACCCCTCTGTCTTTGCTTCGCTCCCATCGACGAGCAGATCTCGTCGGGGAAGCGTGAAGGAGATTGGGTCAAGAGATCCATCCGCTGTGTTTGCGATTTCCACCCTCCTACCCGGCTATTCTGGGTTCAGTGGATTCATTGTTCTTTCTGGTTTTGCCATGGCATGATAAAATCTAAAGAAATCATGAACGAACAACACGAATTGAGATAGGAACCGTCGTTTCTGTATTTCTAGAAAATAGTGGTAAACACAGACTCAGCTACCGAACTGGTTTGGATTAAAATTTTTATCGAGTGTCAGGGAACCATGTAATTATAAATTAGACTTGATCAAAACGGGCCAAAACTTGAAATTCAGCCTGTTTGACCGACCCTATGCTAATTAACTCCAATTATTCTTTACTTTTAAACTTTCTAGTTGAAAATAAAAAATAGTGAAAGAAAGAGAAAACTACAATTCTTCATTTGCACATCACTGCTTCTGGAACAAAATCATAGAAAGTCAAAAGGAAGCTGAAAATATTTAGGATTGCTTTAATGTAAAAATAACCAAATGCATCTTTCTGTTTATTTTTTTACTAACACATACCAAACGCTTCCCTATAAAATACACTATAATTTAATCATAATGCATGATATCAAATAATTGCATAATATATATTTGAAATAATAAAAATTGGACGATTCAGGTTGGTCGAGGTTGAACCATTTAATAACTTTAAAATACATTATATTTTAGCTACTAAGATATAAAATAATATCATAATATATGTTTCAAATTAGAAAAACTAGGCTAATCGAGTTGGATTGTAGGTTAACTATTTAGCCCTTTTCGTGAGTTGATGAATGGATTGTTTAATTCGAATTAATAACTTTGACGACAAGATGAAAGTTTTATAAAGAAAATTAATCGGCCAACGGGCCGAGTAAAAGCTAACAAAGATTGTGAGATGCTCATTTCTCGAAGAATGGAGGGATAGGCGATTTTTTATTCGGTTTTCTAGAATTCGGTTTCTATAAACTTACTCCACCTGCTCATATTACCAGAAATAATATTGTTTCACAAAGTAATAGGTACTCGAACTTGGTTCATAAGACTAATTTTTGATTGCATCATTCATGCCTTTTATTTCTAAAATTCACTATCACATGTTTCCAAAAAAAAAAACTTATACAACAATAAACTATACACCCCATTACATTCTCAAATTTCATAACTTACCTCCTCCGGCCAACTGGTCAGGGCTCCACGCTAGTTGATTCAAATAAAAGATAGTTACATCCTGGAGTTCAGCCAGACCTGAAAATCAAACAAACGACTCATAGTTGGGTACAAAGAAAGGGTCTTACGAGCCACCAAGTGGGCTACCATATTGCTACGCTGACCTACAAATCGCGCACTAAATCTCGGATAACTATCAAAATACCAAATGACCTCATGAAAATAGCCCCCATTCGACTGTCCCTAGTATCAACCCACAGGATCTTATCAATAATCACATTCGCATCGCCTTCAAACCAATTAGCATATAGATGATGAGTTTCTTCTCGACTAGGCGAAGGGAGAGGAAGAGAGTCATTTCTGGGATATTCTGAGGAAAATCAGTAAATTAGATTTAATAATTAATTGAGAATGAAAAATTAAGGCGCGTCAAATTGAGAAAGATTGGTTTTACACATATTTGACATATGATTTACAAATGTTTATTGATATACTTTTTTTGTAATGAGTTATATTCAAATGACAATAGTGTATATCACTCAAAATCTAAAGTATATGTATGCAACATCAACAACAATAATTTCACCATTAAATAACCAACAATTAAATTAAATCATGAATAATTGTTTGGTACACGAAGTAATACTCTTGATAGTTTCGACTATTAAAATATTTTGATTTATTAAATTTCTTCAAATATGAGATTATATAATGGATGATAAAAAAAAGTTGACAGAAACTATTTTAATATATATATATATTTCTTGATATATTTGGAGCCAGCAAACGAGCCCGATCTCGTCTATCCCGCCCACGAAAAATGTTGAGCATGATTATTGAACCAACACTCGCTATTGATGTTATCTAATAATGTGCATTATTATTTTGAAAGAAAATAAAGCTGACTTATTTGTACATTTATTACATAAACACAATTATTAGAACCACGACTTATATCATGTTGATATTTAATATGACCGATGCCTCAAAATGCTTGTATTATGGAAACAATAAGATTTGTAAGACAAACAACATTTGATCATATTTGTGACATGAGACATTCAACTTGCATTAAATTAAATGCCTGAATAAACACTAAATATTCAAAGTGTTTTATTTGTACAAGTTACATGGCACCTAACCTATACATATGAGTAGATGTAAGTGCCACGTAAAACAAAGTTTAACAATTAACCTTTTTCGTGTTCCTCAGATTTTAACTAAATAAGAACACCATAATATGTTCTGCGTCTTTCCCCTCCAACCTAGAAAATTGTTCACCTTCTCTTTCGGAGTGCAAATTAGGTATGTGTAAAGAGAGTAGGAGATTTCTATTGGTCGGGTCACGGCACGGGTGCACCTTTCACTTGAGGACAATAACAAAATCAAGGACACTAACCACAATGATCCTACCAATTAAATTAATGGCTTTCGTCCTCCAAGATCCTCTGCCATATAGTCATACCTACCCTTTCTTCAGTCGTGTGACTATCACGTCCTCAACTCCTCGTGGCTAGCCATGGTTCAGTAGACACAAGTTTCTTGATGAACCAGAAGAAGTAATCAAAGTGGGGAAAACATGGAAAACCGGAAATCAAAGAAGATACGCAACTTATCTCACAAGTGAAACAACACTTTCCGGTACAAGTTCATCTCTTTCGTGGGGTGTAGTAAATGATCCAGAACAACCCTCCAACAAGTTCCAACCAAAACAGACTCTTTTGTCCTGCCAAAAGTTGTCATTTGTCCCTCAATAACAGGAAACGCCCCATGTCAGTTAAAGAGGAAGAGGAAAACAATCACAACCAAGAAGTTGCAAACCAAGAAAAAAGCACATTTGTAAGGATCAGGCATGAACAGCTGCAGAACAGCAAACAGAAACAGCTGCACAAACATGGCACTGCTGCTTTGTCACATTCAAATTGTGACGCAAAAGGGTAGGCATAGCAACAGAGCTCATCGACGCAAGAAAAATCAGACAAAGGGTTCAGTACTATCCAAGCTAGCAGAGACTTGCATAAGTAAACCAAACCAAGAAACTTTGAAAGAATGCTGAGGCTGCCCTGCCCGAAGGACTACAAATTCAACTGACCTAAATCTGCATGTTGATCATCATTACCACAAGTACAGCTGCGGCATAGTTGATTTTGTTGTGCAGTGATTAATCTTCAAAGCTAGCTACAAGTACAAGCTACCTTCTAATGTATAGCACTGAGCCCTTTTCTCAGTGAGCAAGCATTTAATAGTCTCAACAAACTTCACGTACCTGTGACTAGTTTTGTTAGCTAGTGGAAGAAATTGCTCTTTGGCACCAGCTTTTCACCAACCGCTGATTGGGTTGTCTATAAAGTAAATGCAGCAGAGAGACCAAAGTCAGCCACAGCAAACACAATTGTTCATGAAAACCATGTTTTGGTTTCTGCCAATAGTTCTGCTACTCCTCCCAGTGCTCGAGGTGCATGGGAAAGTTCCAGCACTCATTGTATTTGGAGATTCTACTGTAGACCCAGGTAACAATAACCACATCTCCACAATCTTGAAGAGCGATTTCGAGCCATATGGACGCGATTTCGCCGGTGGTAAGCCCACCGGGAGGTTTTCAAATGGCCGGATTGCAACCGACTTTATTGCTGAAGCTTTTGGGATCAAGTCGACAGTACCTGCGTACTTGGATCCCACATATGACATCAAAGATTTTGCTACTGGAGTTTCATTTGCTTCTGCAGGAACTGGTTTTGACAATGCTACATCTGATGTGCTGGTACGTGATGCTTGCTCATTTGCTTAGAAACAAACACACGCATTTTACCATACACCAAATATTTCCCACATGATTTTTTTACTGTAAAAGATAAAAACTACCATTCCAGAAAGTTAACAGAAAATAGAACAAGTAAATAATAACCTAAGATGTGCTTCTGACGGCATACTTCTGTGCCGTACAACTACTTTGTTCGCAGTCAGTTATACCTCTTTGGAAAGAGTTGGAGTATTATGCAGAGTTCCAGGATAAGCTAAGGGGTTACCTTGGAAATGACAAGGCAAATGAGATTTTGAGAGAAGCACTGCATCTCATAAGCATAGGAACAAATGACTTCCTAGAGAACTACTACATGTTACCAGGGAAATCATCCCAGTATACTGTCGTGGAGTACCAGAACATCCTTCTAGGGATCGCCAGAAATTTCATTACAGAGCTTCATCGACGAGGAGCTCAAAAGATTACTATAACTGGGCTTCCCCCGATGGGTTGCTTACCTCTCGAGAGAGCCACAAACATATTCTTCGGGAGCAACTGCAACGAAGAGTACAATAATGTGGCTAAGGACTTCAATGAAAAGTTGAGTGGAGCAGTAACAGACCTTAACAAGGATCTTCCCGGGATCCAACTGGTGCTTTCCAGTCCTTATGAGATGGTAATGGAAATGATCGACAATCCCACTTCTTTCGGTGAGTTGTAAATCCCAACTACTTTAGCAGTTTGCATATCATAACATACATAGTTCAAACTACTGACCCAAGGTCAGCTGCTGCTATAAGAGAAAATGTGTCTGTTCACAATTCCTTTGATATGATACCAATGTTGATAGATAAAATTTCACAATTAACAAACTTAAATAGCTTAGGTGAACTTTCATTCTCATTTTGGTTTTTGACACTTGACCTAAGTTTCATTCTCATTCTCATTTCAATTCAAATTCAAATTTCTTGTTCGTTGCTGCTGGCCCATCTTCAAAATTTCCAATCATCTTAATACAATTGAAAATACTGGGAGAGGTAGCCTACCCTACACTATGGTGAAGGCTTTTCTACTGCTGTACTTAATTATTTGTTCTACAGTGCAGCTTGTATTACTTATCAGAAATAACTCTAACAAAGGTTCTGAAATTCAGGATTCAAAAATGCAGCAATGGCATGTTGTGGCACTGGACTGTTCGAGATGGGTTACATGTGTAACAAAAGAAATCCTTTTACTTGTTCAGATGCAAGAGAGTACATTTTCTGGGATTCCTTCCACCCAACAGAAAAAGCAAACCGGATCGTGGCTGATTATGTTGTCAAACATTTCCTAGCTGCATTCAAGTGATAGCAAAAGACGCATGTGCGCAATATATTTATTCAAGTACATTCAGTCCATGATGCTTTGGCTTTCAATTTGAGAGGCCCATTTTGTGGCACATTATTAATGCTTAGACCGTCATCTATAATGAAAGCAATACCAGAAAGGAGTCACATTTGCAGTACTTTGAACGAAGTTGGCAGTCAGCTAATCACTTTGTTTCTCCATCTCGTAACTATAATAACAATTTTACCAAACTGGTCTAGGGGAAGCTACATGTCCAGCAGAAAAAGGATCAACAACACAAAATTTAAGATTACATTGTGAAGATTGAAAACCCAAGAGGGCTTAACATTTGGTTCCTACTGTCACATGCAAAATATAATTATGAAGTCTAAGTAGTGACGCTCTTAGAGGCAAAGTAAACATCCTAGTCTCAGTAGACACTTACTTTGGCTCCTTGGGAAAATGCAGTTTGATCAGTGCAGGAAGTTCAGCTAGTTCAACCTGAAACCGCCCGAGAAGGATTCTTTTCAGCTTTTCATCACAATTGACCACATTCTTGTTGTTGGAATCCTGGTAAACATGGTGGGAAGGAATGAGAACAAATGCAGAGGCCAACAAATAGCTTAAACACAGCTATCAAGGAAAACTATGTCAAGACAAGAAAACAAAAATCTATATAGCTTGTAAAGTTGACACAACCTGGAGATTATTGGCTTTGATGTATGACCATACTCGCGTGAAGCATCCCAGGCGAGAAATTTGAGATTGACCCACGAAGTCTCGAAGTGTAGAAGGCAGGTTTACTAGATCAATTAAGTTGGCAAGCTTTTTGGGGTTGTTTGCAACAACCTTCTTGACCAGCTGTGGCAGCATTGTACTCTCAAGCTCTCGTCTTTGATTTCCTTCTGCAAATCAGAAGGAAAACATCAAAATCCAAGTAACATCCATCACACGATGAAACTCCGCCCCAGAGTTCCTCTGAGCATGTCAGTCCCCTTTACGAAAAAGTAAACCAGAAAACTGAGAACTCCTAAATGGAGGAGGTACCAATCGAAATAATATTGCCATAAACCAGAAATGAAAGACTCTAAACCATCTTGAAGTTTCTGATAGTTGAACAGTGACAGGCCCTCACGGAGATGTGAGGGCTAAAGAACATTATTTTGCAATCTAGTTATGCTCCTAACAGGGTATTTTGTTAGGAGATACTGACATGGCTGGATGGGCCTCCACGTCGTCAAGCCGCCATCCATCGGTGGAGGAGAAAACGCGCTGGCCCGTGTGAGGGATGAGAGCCGATTCCATCGGCTGGGCCAAGCCCACTCCGGCTGGCGGGGCCCGCCGGGCCCACTAATTCAAAAACCCAAAAAAAAAAATCCTAAACCCTAACCCAAATCACTTTCCCCAAATCACTTTCCCCCCTCTCTCTCCCCCCCTTTCTCTCTCCCTTTCCTCTGCCTTTCTTCCTCTCCCGATAGCAAGAATCGCGACGCGCGGTGAATCGGAGATATCGGCGGCGTCGAATTCGGCGGCAGCAAAGTCTGGCGGCGGCGACGATCTAGACGGCAGCGGCGACTCTGCAGCGAAGGAGGAGATCTCGGCGGCGCGACCTTGCTGCGAATCGGAGATATCGGCGGCGACGTCTTGCAGCGAAGGCGGAGATCTCGGCGGCGGCGGCGAAGCAGCGAAGTCGGAGATATCGACGGTGGCGAAGCAGCGAAGTCGGAGATATCGACGGCGGCGACCTTGCACGAACTCAGAGATCTCGGCGGCGACGACTCTGCAGCAGACTCGGCGGCGGCAATCTCGGCTGCATCGATCTTGTCGGCGGCGACGAAGCAGCGATCTCGGCGGCGACGGTTTGCAGGTGACTCGGGTTTTGTGGAATGTTTCGTGGATATTAGGTTTCGTTTGGACAGATTTGAGTTAGGGTTGCATGATTCGTTCTTTTGTTGATTTTATTTCTGGGTTTTGTGGAATGGCTTTCTGTTTGTGTCGATATTAGTTCAGTTTGTGTCGATATTAGATCTGTTTGTGTCGATATTAGTCATGTTTGTGTCGATGTTAGTTCTGTTCGAGCATGATATGAGTTGTTACTTTCCTGGATAGTTGTTTTATAGGATCTGGGTATTTGTCTTTGCAGGTGATTTATCAATGGCAAAGACTAAAACGAGGGGGAAGAGAGCTCCACTGACTTCACCCCATCCACCACTACCACCGCGACAGCGAGAGGAAGATGAGGAAAAAGATGATGCTGAAGTCGAAGCAGAAACAACTGCACCAGAAGATACTGAAGTCGAAGCAGAAACAACTGCACAAGAAGATGCTGTAGTCGAAGCAGAAACAACTGCACAAGGAGCAGCTCGAGGTCGGCAAAATCTGAGGTACAGATTACAGACATTATATTATTTATTTTGCTTGTATTGTTTCTTTGATAAATCTGGATATTGGTTTTGGCAAGCATGATATCAGTTGTAACTTGCCTGGATAGTTGTTTGATATATGTGGATATTTGTTTGACATTTCGGGATGTTTGTTTGATTTATCTGAATATTTGTTTGACATATCTGTATATTTGTTTTATTTATCTGGATATTTGTTTGACCAATCTAGATATTTGTTTGATATATCTGTATATTTGTTTGTGCATGGATTTATCAATGGCAAGAAATAAAAGGAACGCGAAGAGAGCGCGAAGGAATCAACCGCCCTTGCGAGAGGAGGACGAGGAAGAAGATGCTGCACAAGGAGCTGCACAAGGAGCTGCACAAAGAAATAATATTATAGGACAAGGCAAGCCGTGGTACAGATTTCGGTGCCATACCAAATCTCTCCTAGATGTTATTAATTACTGGAAGGAAGAGCCAAGGTACTATGAAGCATGCAAGAAAGAGTTGGAGAAGGCTGGATTTGGAGGGTTATTGGAGCTTCGATTGGCAAATTTTCCTAAGAACAAGGATTGCAGCCAACCTCATTTTATGAGAGTATAACCGCCGCAAAGATGAAATAGTTGAAGATGCAATAAAATGGCATGCGCAGAAGGAGAAGGAGAAAGGGAGAAGGAAGAGAAGGTGATAGGTGATTTTAGATTTTAGTTTCTAAAACTGAACTTAGGCTTGGATGGAGGATATTTTGTCAGTTGTTGGATACAATTACAATGTTTATTGGTATTTTGTCGTATCATGCTTATTTAAACAAATAACTGCAAAGTGACAGACAAATATCCTTAGAGCCCAGACAAATATCATGTTTATTAAAACAAATATCGGCAAGCGAATAAACAAATATCCTTACAGCCCAGACAAATACCATGTTTAGTTAAACAAATATCTGCAAAGTGACAGACAAATATCTGAAAGATACAGACATATATCCTTCTTTTGTAGACTAATATCCTTGGAGCCCAGACTTATAGTAAATCTACATTTGTACATGTGAATAGTGAAAGAAGTAATCATTGATACTATTGTACTTGCTTCGAAAATACTGATATCCAGAAAGCCCAGAATAATATCTGTATGTGTTCCAACACATATCCTGTTGGCCCAGAAAAGTATCCTAAGCAAGTGGATTAATATCCACTACAAAACAAAAACGTATCCTGAAATCACATGTCAATATCATATCACAATAGACCACTCTCGAACCACCCTACATTCTATTCATAACCATTGAGCAATATTATCATCCAAATCACTAAGATGGCCATCCGAGTGAGCAGTGTCGTCCGGCGTGACCACTTCAATAGATTTCATTCTCTTCCGATATTCACGTTTCTTTCGACGACGTTCCTTTTCATTCGTAGACTGGTAACGTTCCTTACCGTGACTCCTTGGATTACTCTTCTCCTTCAAAGTCAGCCCAGTTATCGGTACAGATCGTCCTACAATGTTAGAGAATTTAGTAAATGCAATGATATTAAACTCTAACAATTTACAAATGTTATTAGTGCATATACTTACTGTCCTCGCTAGTTATAGTCTTTGACAATGCCTTGTTTGCCTCATTGCACACTTTCTTGAGTACTCCCATCCACTTATTGTAATCCTTCTCATCGGCCATCGACATATTCATTGCTAGCTGATTCAACATTGCAGTGGTTTCCCGGTACCGCATTGCTATACCTTTTCCCGCATCATTCTCACTGGGAGCTGAAGGACCAACAGAACCATCGACATCAACAACTTCTCTCTCTCTCTCGCCTCCAACGTCCATCGCTTGAGTATGTAATGATCCGGAATACTTCTCATACTTACTTCCCCAAAATCTCCAAGAAGCCGCATCACCTTAATCATGTGGCGGCATAACACTCCTAAAGTTCTGAACATTCTGCATTCGCATACCAAGGTCGTCGTAGAAATATCGACGAGGACGACAGGCTCATCACTACGCTCACCATCCTCCATCATATATATGAGTTATCCAATCATGCCATCATCCCTATTATCTGAGAGCTTCTTTATTATTATATAGGATTCAGCCACCAAATACTGCTTCTGTATCCTTTCGAAAATGTTAGGAGTAAAGATCTTTGCCGCATGTTGGAGGATCGGGCTATTCTCCAACATTATATAAGGAATCGATTGTTTTGCATTGTAGTCTGACTCTGTCTCCTTGCGTCTTTTGTCAGCCAACAAACTACAATTAGGAAGCAAGAGTAAAGACTTCAGTGCCCAGACTAATATCCTCACGGACCCGTACTAATACCCAGAAAAGATAAACAAATATTTAACCATAGTAGAGAAATATCCAAACTGACAATAAAAATATCCAACCCTAACAGACTAATATCAAAGAAGGGAAAAGTCATATTGCGCGTGTGTACCTGCTAAAGTTAATGAAAAACAAGTCCAAATCATGCCTCGGCTTCAAGAAAAGTCGCACTTGTGCATTGCACGACTCACTAGCTTGCGTAGTCAACATCCCGGCTGTGAATTGATCTCTCAACCATAAAGAACACCATCGATGACGAAATTTCTTCAAACGTTCCAACCATTGATGGCCATCCGCAATGTCGCTATTTGGGAAACAATCAGAAACCATGGTGCTCCATGCCATGTCGAACTCTTCCTCGCTGTCGACGTCATAGAAAATAAAAGAAATATGATGTTGGAACTTCTTCCAAAATGCCTTGTCCTTGCGAAGATGCTTCTTGGCATTCATGAGGATGTGCCAAGTACAGAGGGCATGAAACACAGTAGGCCACTCATTTCTAAGGGCAGCTGCCATGGCTGCATCCTGATCAGTAAATATAGTGATTGGAAGCTTATTCTTCATGCATCGACTAAATGCAACAAACAACCATTCAAACGACGGAGTAGTCTCGTCATACATCAAACAAGCACCAAACACACAAGTTTGGCGGTGGTGATTGAAACCTACAAACATCCCTGCACGAGACAACTATTAATGACAATGCATAACCGAACAAGTGTCGAAAAAACTCAAACGAATTAGGTGATGAATAGTAAACAACATATAATACCCGTACTAGTATAAAAACATACCCTAATTCCTCTCCTACTATTATTAGTTCATGGGCCTTCGGCGGGCAGCCCTAACTAAGGTTGCAAGCCTATGTGTTAGGTCTTGATAGTGTCACAGTATATGCCAATCAATATCAGTAAAGCCCAGACTAATATCGTATGAAAGGTTACCAATACCTGTCGTGTTACAAACAAATATCCTGGGCATCACATGTCAATATCATACCACCAAGGACCAATTCTATTCATAACCATTTCTGCAATATAATTAAAAACATCCATGCGAAAGAACTCAAGGGAATTAGGGGATTAACGTACCCAGTGGACGGAAGTATTTATTGGTTCGGAAGGTGGTATCAAAGGAGACCGAATCTCCAAAAAGCGCATAATCTTCACGCATCCTACTGTCCGCCCAAAATATATTAGCAACTTTCTCTTCGGAATCCACCTCTACAGCATAAAAGAATCCAGGATGCTTGTCCTTTTGGTCCTCAAAGTAGTCCAGCAAATAAGTCGCTTCACCACGAGCCATTGTCCTTTGCCTTTTAGTGTTCAAGTGATTCTTCTGATCGGATTTGGTAAATCTCAGATTTTGATACCCACCAGCACAATCAGCCAATAACTGATACGATGCACTAAGACTCATCCCGGCATCGCGATTAGCTTGAGCCATCTTTTTCTGAGCATCACTCATGCACTTGTTCGACTTGTGCAAGTGCATATGCTCGGTAGAGTGCAAACCATGACTGTGGGCTTCTACGAATTCATACACCACAAATCCCTCCCTAGCAGCATCCCATCCAAAACGAACACGGGCTGGACATCCATCCCTAACTCGAGGCCTCTTTCTTTTGCAAACCATTCTCTCCTCAACCTTGTCTTCCGACTGTATCTGATTATCCATATTGACTTTGCTTGTGGAAGTCCAGCCTTCCTTATTACAAAAGTAATAAAGGTATGCATAATTTTTCTCCACCACTCCTTTAGAATTCTTGATCTTTCTTATGTGTTCCCCATCTATTCGAACACCAAACCCTTTTTTGTGAGCGTAGCGCTTATAGAAATCAAAACACTCATCCTTAGTGCGATAAAAGATGTTCTTCCTCGCTTCCTCGTCTTCTAGATCCAACGTCTTATGAGCTGCGAGTTAATGGTATGAGGCATGTTATTATCCATTCTTGACCACAAACTGTTAGAATACATAGGCTTCAACAAATATCCAGAATTCAAATAAATAATATCTATAACTACCAGACAAGTATCAAACAATGCATTAAATAGTGGGTCACACACAAAATATCATGTTTCGTTACAGCCCAGAAAAATATCATGTTTCGTTAAACAAATATCGGCAAGCAGATATACAAATATCCTTACAGCCCAGACAAATATCATGTTTCATTAAACAAATATCGGCAAGCAAATATACAAATATCCTTGCAGCTCAGACAAATACCATGTTTAGTTAAACACATATCTGCAAAGAAACAGACAAATATCCGAAAGATCCAGACATATATGTCATTCTCACAAAAATTTAAACATCAAACACCCATAACAACATCAACATCATTCAATGCTATTCTCACAACAATCTCAATATCAAATATTCAATGCAACCAACCAATCTCACAACAACACAAACATATAAAGAACTCAATCAACCTTTATCTTCTTCTTCTTCTTCGTTGAGGGCAGGAGCACCACTTGAATCTTCATCAACAAACTCATATGATGTAGGATAGAGTTCTTCTTCTTCACTATTTTGTGCGATCGATTTACCCTTCTTCATTGGAGAAGATCCTTGATCATCCAACTCCCCATTGTCGTCGATCGGCATCGTAAAAGGTCGCCGGAAAGATGGTCGCCGGAACAGAAGATGGTCGCCGGAAAATACAGTTGGGCGGCGGCTCTCTTCCTTTGGAAGAGAAGAAAAACAGAGAAAAATGGAAGAGAGAGAGGCAATTTTCAGGTTTGGGTGGGTAGGGTAGTTGGGAGCATTAAATTCCTCGACTTTCTTTGAATTTCCTATTTTTGATTTTTGTTTCCCCAAATAAATGACCCACTTGGGCCCCTTCTTTCCATTTCTCCCCCCTTGCCACCTAAAACCTACCAAGCCGCCACCATCAGCTCCATCTTTCATCTCAGCTGGGCTAAAAAACCCACAAAACTCCACTGGGCCGTGTCAGTATCTCCACAAATATCCAAACAACACAGACAAATATCCAAACGACACAGACAAATATCCAAAAAAGACAGACTAATATCCAGTCTCATTAAAAAACTATCCAAACCACCCAGCCTAAATATCCGAACGTCGCGAACTAATATCCGTTCAGCCCACTCGGGCTTGCGGGGCCCGCCGGGCCCACTAATTAAAAAACCAAAAAACAAAACCCTAAACCCTACCCCTTTTAACGTTCTTCCCCAATTGCCAAATCTCTCCCTTTCCTCTGCCTTTCTTCCTCTCCCAAACGCAGACGAAGCGCCGCGCGGTGATTGGAACTCGGCGGCGTCGAACTCGGCGGTAGCAAAGTCTGGCGGCGGCGGCGACCTTGCAGCGAAGGCGGAGATCTCGGCGGCGGCGGCGAAGCAGCGATCTCGGCGGCGGCACTTTGCAGGGAACTCGGGTTCTTCATCAAGTAAGTTTTCAAGCATAGTTTCGTGGATATTAGTTTTCGTTTGGATAGATTTGAGTTAGGGTTACATGATTCGTTCTTTTGTTGATTTTATTTCTGGGTTTTGTGGAATGGCTTTCTGTTTGTGTCGATATTAATTCTGTTTGAGTCGATATTAGATCTGTTTGAGTCGATATTAATTCTTTTTGTGTCGATATTAGTTCTATTTGTGTGGTTATTAGTATTGTTTGTCTCGATATTAGTTGTCTTTGTGTCGATATTTGTTCTGTTTGTGTTGATATTAGTTCTGTTTGTGTTGCTATTGGGATTCTTTTGACTTGGGGGATTTGGATTTCTTTCTATTTGCGGGATCTGAGATTTTCATTGATATTAGCTATTAGTTCAATGATATTAGTCTTTTCAGGAATTGTGCAAGATGACAAAATCCAAAAGGTGTTCGATGCCAGCTCCTCCAAGAGAAGGGGAGGCGGAGAAACATCACTGGCTCAATCCAGACGCATCATGCTGGGAAAACAAAGATTTTGACAACCTTGACCTAAATCAGGTACATAGATGTTGTTTTTGCTTCTTAAGTGACATGGTTGCATATAGTAAACTAAATATTTTACAACATATGCAGCTTGCGGCAATGGAGTCAATGGTTGAGAGCATGATCCAAATGTGGAAGGCTCGAGACGACGCCCTCAAAAAAATTATCAAGCGTCAGCAAGACAATAGTTGAACTATTGCTTTCTCATTTCTTATATGGTTCTGCTTTTTCGGATTTGACATTCTTGGATTATTGTAATGACATTAAATACTAGTTTTATCGCGATTTATCTATCAAACGACTCTTTTTATTGGGTATAAAAAAACGACTCTTTTTATTAAGAATTCGAGTTTTTTATTCTGGAATATTATTTGCTCGTCGAAAACTCATCTCCACAAAAAAAATATCCAAACCACTCAAACTAATATCCGACTGTCGCACTAATATCCGTTCTCCATTACAACTAATAATTACACCTTTAACCCTAAAAAAAATTCCTAAACCCTAACACTAACACCCTAATCACTTTTCCAAAAAAGCCCTATTAGAATATCGAAAAGTCCAAGAAAATTTCGAAAACATGAACTAATATCAATTCAAACCTAAGCTAGACCCTAAACCCTTAACATAAACCATAACACAAACCATAAACTATTATGATTTAATGGGCCTTCGGCCCATGGGCCCTCGGCGGGCAGCCCTTACTAAGGTTGCAAGCCTTACGTGTTAGGACTTCCTAGTGTGTTTAATTTCCTAGTGTGTTTAATTTGATGTAAGAAACAATATTCCAATCCTTCACAAATTGAAAACCAAACCATAAACCCTAAAACTTAAACTCTAAATTGGTGTAATCAGTTTCGGGTGGTTGGGTTATTTTGGGGTTGGTAAATATTAATTTAATGATGGCTACTGAAAACAAATAAATATCCAACACAATGATTCAAAGTAATATCAACACAACACATAATAACATCCACTGAAAACAAATAAATATCCAAACAAACATACATATATATCACATGGGGCCCAAAAATTTCATTCTCTTTCCACTCCAACCCAAAATCCCGCCCAAACTGAAGCCGGACCCACCACGCTTTCCACTCCAACCCAAACTGAGGCCGGGCCCACCACGTCACGAACTCGGCTCGCCTTCTGCGCCGCACGCTGGGCCGGCTTCTACACGGAAGCCCATCTCCAGCTCATTTAAGTGAGCCACCACTCTCCTCCGTTGGATGAAGCCCAAGCACACGTGGCCCAAAATCTGACCCTATCAGTATCTCCTAACAAAATGGCCTGTTAGGAGACTAACTTTTTCGATTATTTTGATGTCAAAAGTACAGAAAACTCACATGGGAATTCTGACAAACACCTTGTGTGCTTGAAAATCACTGCGAAGAATTACTACCAGTTCGGACTCTGGAGGTCTTGGTAACCCTCGAGGAATTTCCGTGCGTTTCTGTTCGGTGTTACTACGCGATCGCTCGCCGCCTGCGTTAGATAAAAATAAATATATTTGTTTTCAATTTTGTTTCTCATTTATTTTTTTAAAAATACATATATTTAGATTTGCACCATGGTCATTTTCATCTATGATTAGAATCTTAACCAATTATACTACATAGATTAGTTGTATAATTTTAAATAAAAACCATAAATGAAGCTAAAATTAAAATTCATGGAACTTTTCAACGGTTAGCTAAGGTCACTAAATCTTTGCTCAGTACTTATTGGTGTTTTGATACTTCGATTTTCATATTTAATTATTTTAATTATACTTTAATACTTAAATTTCTATTTATCTTATAAATAGACGATAACTTTAAAATCATAGACCAAATATCATTGATTCAATATTACATATCGCATTGCAATATCGAATGTGTAGAAGCGATGTTGAACTCCTACATTAGTATTAGTTTATAGAACTACTATGAGACAATCATATTCATATCTTTCTGCAAACTATATGGAGTATTTAATTCTCTTACATCATGGTGATGTTGTCTAATTTCCATTTTAAATCTCCTTTTAATTCTCTAATATTATATTGTAGATGTTTCATATTAGTTGAATTTAGTAATTATAATTCTCTTCCTATAATCATATTTTATTTTCTACATTTTTTTACTGAATGTTATAGCTTTTATAGTTCATTTATTACTTAGTTACTTTCTGTCTCTTTTCGTTCTAAATGGTTTTTCAGTTACTAGAATATGTTTTATTCCTTATGATTGTGTTCTATTTATCTTTCTTTGGTTTAGATGTATTGATGATCGATTAGCTTCTATTTTAATTATTTCTAATGGTGCTTCTAATTGAATTAGGGTGTTTAAATAGATATTCTAATATTAATTTTAAATATTTATTATTATATTCTACTGTATTTATTATTTTTCTCAATATTCGTTTAATATTTTTACTAATTTATCTATTTTATGAAAATATTTGATTAGCCAGTTTAGTAATAATATGTTTAAAAGGTTTTCTAATTTTTATATTAGATAAAACTTGTTGAAATATAGTTTTGAATGTTTTTAAAATTTTTGGGTGCCAAAAAGTAATTAAGAGTTTGGGTTGGATGGAAAAGTAGACGGATGCCCATTTTGTCGACTTTAATGGCACCCGACGCCCTATTTAAACTTAAGTGGTATGTCTACTCTAATTCTCAAACTTAAGTGGTACCCGATGTATTTTACCCTTAATAATGACTACTGGCCAATAAAAAAATTCTATTATGTTAAACTAGCACTGCCCCGTCCCGTTGGGCGGATAACCTACGCACAGTCGTATTATTTAGTAAAAATTGAAGGGTGCGCCTATGGTGACATGCATGCCACCGTAACTTGGACTTTTTGGTCGACTTCAATTAGGATTAGGTCGACCTAATGTGTTGTTTCAGCGTAAAAATAGTTTCATGGTGCCTACTTTGAAGATACATATCTTACAATTGGCTCAATGGAAATTGGAGATTAATCACTTATTTTGAAGTTGGAGTGTCCCTCTACACATTGAAGTGCTTGGAAGCTCGATAGGAAGTTCATAAGACCATTTTGAACCTGATCAAAAGGCTATGCCAAAACTGGGAAACTGCCTAGGAAAGTGTTTGTGAAGCCTACTTTGGAGCTCAATTCTATAAGCATGGATGAGATTCGAGTCCAGGGGCCTCTACCACATGAAAGTAGGTATGTTTGTCTACAAAGTCAAGGCATTGGATGAAATATTGGATATCTGGAAGGCTTCAAACAAAAGGCTTGAAGTTGCTACGAAGTAAGCTGCCTTCTAGCACAAGACTAAAACGACAGATTATATCGACCTATTCATATATGAGGTCGACCTAAAAGTGAAAATTAAGGTGACATGCATGTCACCGTAGCAAAGTCCAAAATTGAAATATAAACTAAATTGATAATAGTTCATTGTTTGGTAACTTTTGTAATAAAATCGTATTTGTACAAAATTTTAGCCCAAAAAATATGTTTATTAATACCTATGAAAGTTTTATCTAAAAATTGTTGTATGGAAGTGTTTATGGGAGAAGTTTAAATTAAACTATCTATGCGGATAGAGTCACTTAATGTTTATTATGAAGATGAATTAAAAGAAATGGTTTTTAATTTTACAAACAATAACAATAAGCAATAACATCCCTAATGTGTTGGGAAAATGTTATATGAGATGAACGCAATCCAACAGTCTAATTGATTTCCAACCCATAAAAGAATAGGTGAATACTGGACCACCAGATTGAATGATCGGGAGTGGAACCAAAGCTGAAGCGTGTATTCGTCCTTCACCAACAATCTATCGACTTCCTTCTGGTTTCTAATCCTATCTCAGATTCTCAATAGTTCTGCTTCATCTTCCTCGGGTTCTCCAGCAATTCCTTCTAATCCTATCTCTTTATCCTCACCAATTTGAGAATCCCTAACACCGGGTTTGCCCTGTTGGCTAGCGAGTTTGATTATTATGTATTTTGCATGTGTTGTTACCACTTATAATGTGTGTAAATAGCAAAGATTATTATGCATTTTTATGTTTTGGTACCATTTATAATGCATGTAAATAGCAAAGACATGGAACTTATAGCGATATACATGTTTACAAATAGAACATTTATTATTGATCTTTGATATAGTCCAACATATCAATGAAAATGATTTCCAGTATTTATCACCTTGGTAGATCACGATACAAGTTATAAATATGAAATTGTATGATTTGAAATGGCACATTGCGGATTTTATAGCCACAACCGAATGACCTAAATTGCTAGCCCCAAATTTAACATTTTGTCTCGCAAGTTCCAAATTCACTTAATAAGCATAAAAGAGATTAGGGACATATATCAAGTACTTCAATAAATTGAAAGCTAAATATCACCAAAATCTTATGATTCCACGATAAACGCAAGAGATATATTTGAAATCTCGCACCAATAGAAAAGTTTGATAGCATACTCAACAAAATTGTTGCTATTCTTTCCACAACAAGTAACAGAGTTAGACTCCTCCAAGTACCAAACATTCATCTCCAATTTTAATTTTTACATGGCTAACTCCCAATATTCAATTTAAACTATGATATAATTAGTTTATAGAGCTAAAAAAAAATACGCATGCTCTAGCGATTAATCTCACCTATAAAGACGAATGAATCTAAGAGTTGGAAAGGAAATTTTGACCGAACGACAAAAGGAAGTGCATTCCATAAAGACTCTGGTAAATTATGAAGAAGGGAAAGATGCCACTGGGAGACTCAAACTTGGTGGAAGGAGAAGGGAAGATAGAAAGGAATGTATTTGTGGATCAAGAGAAAGGGGATGACGAAACTCAGTAACCATTATGTTTTTTTCCTCGACAATGTAAAACAAAACATGAACTAAAGTAAATTACAATTTCATGAAAAAATTCTGTTTAGCTGAGAAGTTTTTAGACTTTTGAAAATGAAACCTGAAAATAAAAACACGGTTTAGTAATGATTTCTTTAACATGAAGGTATGGTAGTCTGATTACCATATTTTTAAATTCAATCAACATTTACAAAATTGTGCCATATTGGCAATCTGGCATAAAAAAGCCTATCAAAGAATAAGCCCTATAGTCAATTTAAGTAGTACGAAATAGTTGAACGACAATTTCAACACAAAACATCATGTCATTGACTTTTTCGGTACAAACTCTGATAATATTTTGCAAATGAATTAATTTAAATTAACAATTATTCTCAAATTAGGTGAAATCAAATTTGTCTGGGAGGTTAAACCTTTTTTTTTTTTTGTAAGAAGTTAAACCTACTTTTAGTAGACTAAAAGGATTACATAAATTATAAAAATGATTAAATATTAACTCCTCGATTTTTTATGATATTTAAATATTAATTACCACTTTTACATGTGACCTTTAGACAGTTACAAATTTTTTAATTAATTGATCATCATAATTAGAGGATTCGTCTCATTTAGTCATTTCTCCATATTCCTTCACAATCTCTCTACACTATCCAATATATAAATAAAATTTATTTAATCTCCTCTGTTTATTTCTTATCCATCACAATCTTTATTATTTTCAAAATCCATCAATGTCTCGATTTGGAGTAAAAATATACACAACTATGGTACCCGCGGAAATCCGATCTAACCGAATGGGGTAAAACTCAAACCCGAAGAATATTCAGTTGGTATGGATAAAATTAAAATTTGAATATTGCGGTAATTAGTGGATATGATTTTATCACTAACTAACCTGAACTCTCACAATTTTACACGTACATATATATTTTATCTAAAAATTAACATTATTTTTCTTCTACGATAAGATATATTTGTGCTTGGTGTTCTTCTACAATAAGATCTCTAATGACATATTACCATTAAACATGGCAGGAAAATATATATTTATTAGCTTTAATTGAGAAGTTGTTTGTTGGTGGGAATGCTCTTTTTAGGGGGAAGGATATCGTTTTTAGGTGAAACGGGAACAATTAATAATAAGAGAAAAAAATAAAAATTGCAGTTCCGAAATTTGCGGCGGTGAATCTAATACTGACGGGGCGACTTCATTTACGAAGCCCACTCTCACAATTTCGTTAGCAAAAACCCAAACAGGCTGAAATAGGTAGACAACATGAGCCCATTAAACGCAATATAGAAGCAAGAACCCAGTTGTAGGAAACCAAATTGAGGGTGGGATGCAATGAACGCACAATTTCATTTAACAAGTGTGAAATGACGAAAGAGGACATCCGAAAATATCACTCAGAGGTCTCCATTTTCAAATCTCTGAAAATGTCACTCATGTTTTGCTATTATATATTTTGTAGACATCTTGCATAGATTCCATTATGGTCCAGCGGTTAGGATATCTATTTTGAGAGTTGCTAAAGGTCGTCATTAAAATTGCTAAAGATCGCCCTAAAAAATATCAATGTTAGACCTTTTAGCTTCTTTACTTTCTCTATAGCAAACAAATACTATTTAGGCTAAGCAAAGAAAAAAAAAATATTATCCAAGAGAGAAATAATCCACCATTGTCATTCTGGAGCCAAAATCTTCCATAGGACGTCTGAATCATGAGTAGAGACTCCGACGAGGTAAAATTCACTCCAAAAATTATTTTAAAAAAGGGAACTGTAGGTCACTTGCAGTTGCACCATGGCAAGTGACATGCAGTTTGTCCATGGTGTAATCGCAAGTGACATGCGGTTGGCCCATGGTGGAACCGCAAGTGAGCTGCGGTTGCACCTTGGACCAACCGCAACTTGCCTTAGGTTGAGTGTTATTTTGAAAATTTTGGTCGGGAACGAGAGACGACGACGACGAGAAAGGTTTCGGCGGCCTGGTGCGCCGAGACTGATTCGGGAAGAAGGCAGACGAGGGGTTGGGTTTGAGGAGTTAGGGATTGTTTGGTTTGTCTAAATTTCGAAATTTAATTGGAGGGTATATAGGTAATTTATTATTTTAGTTAGGGTGACCTTTAGTGATTCAGCTATTTTTCACCCAGGGCCAGGAGACTGGAGTTTGATTCCCAACAAGTCATCCATCAAGGAGAAACTGAATGGGCTACGTTTAGTGATGGCAATGGGCTAGTTTGGGCTTTTCATGGGTATATCCACCAAAAACACCGGGGTAAAATCCATTGGGTTTGGAAAACTCAAACTCATCCCAACACGCTAGGTATCCGCGGGTTTATGGATACCCATGTGTTTTTGTGGCAAAAAATGCACAATAACAAGTTCTCGTTAAAATAAAAGTCTACAATCATTCTTCTCATACAAATTATCTAAAAAAACAATCTAGACCATACAAGCAAAACACAAATTGTTCAACATTTAAGATAAACATCCATAAACAACAGGTTAATTGAAAGCTTCTTCCTCCTCATCAAATAAGCTTCTTCAGTCTCCACTCCATAATATAAACTTCATTCTACACAATTAGAAAGAACAAATTATACATATCTCCATAAACATAAGAAAGATTAGTTGCTTAAGGAAGATATATTGCTTAAAATATTAAATAAAGTGAGCAAATAAAATAGCAAGTGAAGTGAGCAAAAATGGTAGCCAACAATATCATATCACAACAAGTATTAAAATTCCTATAAGTAACTTCACATCTTCCAAATTCATTCAAAACACAATCACATTCAGGACAGAGATATGCAAAGCACACTTTCCAAATTCTAAATTCAACCAAAACCATAAACTTAGTTAACTATTCACTATAAAAAAACTCCAACCAAAACCAAAACACAAAGTACACATTCAAACAATACTTGGTAAGGGATTTGTGGCCGGGGATGAGTACGGGTTGGAGTGGGTTGGATATAGCTAAACTTGAACCCAAGCCAACCCCTAAAACAGTAAATGGGTTTAAACCCGCACCTGACTCATAATCCGTCAATGTGGATTTTATCCGCGATGACCGAATTGGGTCTGGTAGGGTACACGTGGGTTCGAATTATGTTGCCATCCCTAACTACGTTTCTATTGCCTGGGATCAAATCCCATGTTTCTAGCCCCATTATGATAGATATTAGTTAGATTATTGAAAACTGAGTTTGTTTGTTTGTTTTAACTCACAAGTTCTCTTATCAGCAGTAAGTTTTAAGAATTTTTTTTTACAACAGATAATCATTATATTGATTGAGCAAAAAGATCGTTACACCCTAGAATTTAACCAGGACAAGAAAGCAAAAGAACTACATGAAGTCGAGTACAAAGAGATGGCCTTTCTAGCCACCAAATGGGCTTCCCTATTATTACGCCGACCTACATATCGCACACTAAACCCAGAATGAGCAACCAATAACCTGCAGACGTCCTCTAGAATGATCCCCAAACGACTATCTCTAGTATAAGCTTGTTGAATTTTTTCGATGATAACCTTGGCATTCCCATGGAATCTAACCTCCACAAAGCCATTCGCAAGACACCAAAGAATAACCTCTCGGTGAGCAATGAGCTCGACAAGCATGGATTCATCAATATCCTCAAATTGAACCCCAGTTTCCAGAAGGACCTGCCCACTAGGCGTCAGAAGAACTATACCCCCCGCGGAATGCAACCCACAACGCGTAGCCCCATCCCACAAGCAAATGACCGAGCTCGGATCCCCGCCGTTACTCAAATCAGTCTGTGGGACTGGTGGCCAACCCCTAGGGGGTAGCGGCAAGCGGCTCCATTCCTGATACTGCTGGTGGAATTGGCGCATCAGCGCAGGTATTCCAAATTGCTTGCCCTAAAAAACCACCCAATTATGGTCGCCATATCCGCCAAAGGAGTGCAACAACCGCCATAAAGACCGGTAGTCGATGAATACAATCCATTAGCCGATTTAGGAATAGAGGAATGGTATGACGTGGGAGTCCTTATCCTAGATGTTCAAGACCTACATGATCCCATAAAGCACGAGCCACAGGGCAATCCAGAAAGTATAAAAAAAATTATGTTTACTTAATTACTTTTTGTGGGGAAAAAATATTCTCTATATTCTATATAGTTAGCCAAAAACTGTTATTCAAATTTAATTGTTTGATTATTCATTTGTAACGTTTAGATTTTCCATATTTTTATTTGTGAAGTCAAAGTTTGGTGGCAATATACTTTAGGTATCAATCTATCTCTCTACTCTTTCATTCTTCTTCACTTCAAACTCATTCATTTGAAGAAGGGAAAAAAAGATCATGCCCCACTAAAACATGAATTCATTGACTAAACAATGAATATCAATTGATGTCATTGAAGATCCAGCTTCGAGTTGTGGACAAAGATGCTACGCCTTACTTTGTCGTTGTGGATCGCGATGAGTTCAACGTTTTAATGCATGTTAAGAAAATACGTTCTAGCAGAGTGAGAGAATAGGAGGATCTCCAGTTTGCCATCTTCTTCTAATAGGTTGATGAAAAGGTGGAGACCGAAAATTCTCTTAGAAAAGTCTCCTACAAACTGATGGATCTAGGGCTGCAAATGAGTCGAGTTGAGTTGAGTTGAGTTTTTGCTTAGTTTGAGCTCGGCTCGTTTGTAAATTTTTTAGCTCGAGCTCGGCTCGAACTCAAATTTTGATAATCCAACTCGAGCTCGAGCTCGGCTCGATTAAAAATAATCCATCTCGAGCTTGACTCGGTACTCGGTAAATGCTCATTAACTCAGCTTGTCAAGCTGATTACAAGCTCGGCTCAAGATGAACTCGATTTGGAATAGTTCTTGCCGAAAAATGTGCACATATAAGAATATAAATGATAAAAAGAACACTAGAAACTAAAAATAACAGCTAACTTTCATACATATCCGTATTAACAAGATAATGTTCATGAGAGTGATTAACCCTTCCACAAGCTCTAAACATGCCAGCTCGCAAGCTTAGCTTAACAAGCCACCGAGTCAAGCTAGCTCACGAGCTTATCAAGCTGAGCATGGTCTAGCTCAGGCTTGGCTCGTTTACTAACGAGTCGGCTCGCGAACCGACTTGTTAAATAACGAGTCGAGTGTCGAACGAGTTTTTTCCGATTCGAATGTCGAGTTGCTCGCGAGCGGGTTGGTTCATTTGCAACCCTAGATGGATCGAAGTTGAAATTCAACCTAAAATTTATCGACTATAGCATAGTGAACCCCATATTTGAGGACACAATTTTGAAGATAAGAAACTATAAGAAAGAGCAAATTCAATAAGTTATATGAGCAAAGAAAAAAAGTATTTTGCGGTCATCAGGCGACCCCGAATTCGAATTGGGGGAAAAAGAATTTGTATTTCTTTTTCAATTTCCAACATCAGGCGACCCCAGGTTGGTTCATTTCCAATTTCTTACCATTAAATCCCCTCCTAAATTTTTTTTTTTTGAATTCATCTCTTCAATTACTTTTGTCCAGTATCTCAAAACATGAATTATCCAAATATAAATTATGTTCTCTTTATTGACTAGTGATATTGAAGAAAAGTTGAAAACCAAATGTGGATTTTCAGTTTCAAAAAATAAAAAAATTGGAACCATTAACTAGTGACCAAGAATTCACCGATTCTTGGATTCAAAATGTTTTGTTTCGCCCATTTAACATTAAGCTTATGCACCCCCAATAAAATACAAGAGATAAAGAAGATAGATAGAGTTAGCTAGCGGTGAACGTAGCAGATCCAGTGATTGATTGAGGTAAGGCCGTCGTTGAGAAGAAAGAATATACTTTCGTTTGTGAAAATAGAGAAGCAGGGTGATGGAGACGATGTCATTGTTCTTGGTGGAGATAATAAAACTAGCAGTGGCGCAACAATGACACAAGAATTTCAAAAGAACACGTGGTGTAATTTGCCGGTATATTTACAACAAACTTGCTGTAAATTTGGAAAACCCTATGATCTATTTCCTAATTTCTACATATTTTTCTGTACGAATAATTACAGTTCATCCATCTCCTTCACTCGTAAAGCAGTACATCTACCCAAAGGTCACATAGCTCGATTGGTGGACCCTGATTGAAAGTTTGTTTTGAACGTGTGAGATTCTGAGTGTGATTCGTGGTTTTCCCGGTGACACTAATAGAGATCTTAGTAGGGTTCAAGCAAGTGAACCTTCAGATTTGATCTCGTTCTGCCATCGTTAAGCAGTGTGTCTGTGTGGAAATGTTACTGAGTTATATAAAAAAACAGTTCATCTGTTTTAATAATCGTTACTATGAATAATAAATGACCGTGAATACAAATCTACTCTTACTACTTTTGCTATGGATGCAAAGATTTTATAATGGGGGAAGCACCTTTCCCATTTCACTTTTATATTAGGTGTAGTGAAAATAATCCGATGGTTGAGTGTTTAGTAGGTCCGACACTATTTGGGTCCGTTTAAATTAGTAGCACATTTTCCATTTGCGTTGGGCAAACCAACAACACTTAATCGATCCATATTTACCCCTCCAAGAATTGCTCTGGCTTAATAATAGAGGTAGAGGAGGTTAGCCGGTTGTTGAGTCTAATGAGAAATTTGGAGAGACGGTGATGGTTGAGCGTTTAGTGGGTCGGGGCACTATTTGGGTGCGTTTACATTAGTAGTGTCTTTTCCATCCGCGTTCGGCAAACCAACATCACTCAACCTTTCCATATTTACCCCTATCTTAAAGACACATGTGCCCCATATTTACTCAAAAGTTCTGTGTTTAAAAATATCGTCACTTTATGATAGTTATAACAATTAAGTCTATATTAAGAATTCTACATCGCTTCTACATATTCAAGAGTGCAATTCGATATGCAATATTTGAATCAATGACATTTCGGTTCTAAACGTGGTGGAAAAGTCCTATATTTTTCAGATTTAAGCTTCCCGTATGTTTTTAATTGAAAACGATCTCACAAATGTGCTTATTGTAACTAGTTATGTTTCTTATCTTTGTTCGAAGATGTTATAAACGCGCTGCTACGGATCGGGAAAACGCAGGAATCGACAAAGCAAGAATACGAAGCGAGAATCGAAAACACGACACACGATTTACGTGGTTCACTAACACGATGTGTGTTAGCTACGTCCACGGGCGAGAGAGAGCCAGTTTCACTATATCAAGGAGATTACATATTACAGAGGAGTATGAGAAGTATTTATAGTACTTCACCATGTGGGTCTAAACCTAATCCAATCTGGCAAAGGAAACGGTTACAGACCAGGCCCAGAACCCGAACCCAAATAACATTGAGCCCATACACCGTGGGCCGGGGGCGTTGCCCCTGGACCCCACTCGACCGGGCAGCGAGACCCCCGATTACCAGTCGTAGCGGCTGATAATCCGATTCAAGTCATATCAACAAATCTCCACCTTGACTTGAATCCTCTTCCTCTGAAATCTCTGATGTACTCTGCTCCTTCTATCTCTCTCCCGCCATCAATGCCCCGCAGGGCGGAGTCACCCACTCAAGACATTCAGCAAGTCCAAGCAGTGTTGGAACTTGCCATGTGGAACCGGCTTCGTGAACATATCAGCAGGATTATCCGCGGTGCCAACCTTCTTCACCTTAATCCTCTTCTCTGTCCTCAAGAAATAATACCTCACGTCGATGTGCTTAGTCCTCTCATGGTGGACTTGATCCTTGGCCAAGCATATTGCACTCAAACTGTCGCAATACACCACTGCCTGATCATGATGTAGACCCAGATCTCCAACCAGTCCCTTCAACCATATTCCCTCCTTAGCAGCTTCTGTCAACACAATATACTCTGCCTCAGTAGTAGACAATGTCACCGCCGACTGCAAAGTTGCCTTCCAGCTCACTACAGAACTCCCAAGAGTGAATACATAACCGGTCATCGATCTCCTCGTGTCAACATCTCCAGCATAGTCCGAGTCAGAATACCCAGACACCGAGCACTCTGTATCACTTCCGAAGCTGATTCCCACATCAGGTGTACCCTTAAGGTACCGGAAGATCCTCTTCACAGCCTGCCAATGCTCCTTCCCAGGTTGTATCATAAACCTGCTGACAACACTAACAACATGTGCAAGATCAGGTCTAGTGCATACCATAGCGTACATCAAGCTACCTACTGCACTAGCATATGGGACTCTCGACATGTACTCCTTCTCAGCCTCTGACTGCGGTGCATAAGCTGAGGATAGATGAACATTTGAAGCACTAGGAGTATTTAAGGGCTTTGCTGAAGACATGCCAAACCTCGACAGTATCTTCTGGATGTAGCTCTTCTGTGACAAGAAAAGCTTCTTCTTCGACCTGTCCCTGTAAATCTCCATACCCAAGATCTTCTGAGCAGCTCCCAAATCCTTCATCTCAAACTCAGCACTGAGAAGCCCCTTTAACTTCTGGATATCAGACTTTGACCTCGCAGCTATGAGCATATCATCCACATACAGAACTAGATATATCATCAAACCATCCTCTGCCTTGCTGTGATATACACAACAATCATATGGACTTCTGCTGTAGCCCAGCTCAAGCATGTAACTGTCAAATCTCTTGTACCACTGCCTCGGAGACTGCTTAAGTCCATACAAGGACTTCTTCAGCTTACAAACATAGTCTTCTTTTCCAGGAACCTCGAATCCTTCTGGCTGAGTCATGTAAATTTCTTCCTCCAACTCTCCATGTAGGAAAGTTGTCTTCACGTCTAGCTGCTCGAGCTCCAAGTCATAATGTGTCACTATTGCTAGTAGCACTCTGATCGAAGTATGTCTGACCACTGGTGAGAAAATCTCATTGTAGTCAACTCCTTCCCTCTGCGAGAAGCCTCGTGCAACCACCCGAGCTTTAAATTTCACGCCCTCTTTAGAAGTGATTCCTTCCTTCTTCTTGTATATCCACTTGTTTGTAACAATCTTCCTTCCCTGTGGTCGTTTGACTAGCTCCCAAGTCTGATTCCTGTCATGGGATTCCATCTCATCTCCCATTGCGGCAAGCCACTGATCAGCTTCACCACCCGAAACTGCTTCTCTGTAGGATTGTGGCTCTCCTGCATCCACTTCTTCAGCAACCTGAAATGAATACGCCACCATGTCCTCGAAGCCATACCTCTGTGGAGGTACTCCTGCAGTCGCTCTCTTCGGTCTACCGGAAGCAATAGACTGTTGAGCTCGTGCACTGGACTCTGAATTTTCTGGCTCTGCAGAGACATCCTCATCATGTTGATCTTCTCCACCTTGGTGCTCAAACTCACTCTCATTGAGATTTTGCAGCTCCACCTGCTTATCAACATTCCTGCTACCTTCAACAACAGTAACCTTCAACATGGGGTTAAACATAGACTTCTCATCAAAAATCACATTTCTACTGAGTATAACTCGATGCTCAGAAGGTGACCAGACTCGAAATCTCTTAACTCCATCTCTGTAACCCAAAAATACACCTTTCTTTGCCCTTGGGTTCAGTTTACCCTCATCCACGTGATAATAAACAGGACACCCAAAAACTTTCAGTGAAGAGTAATCAGCAGGCTTACCATACCACACCTCATAAGGAGTCCTCAACTCAATACCTGTGTGAGGTCCACGGTTGATCAGGAAGCACGCCATGTTCACTGCTTCTACCCAGAATCTTCTCTCTAGTCCAGCATTAGAGAGCATGCACCGTGCTCTCTCCAACAATTTCTGGTTCATCCTTTCTGCAACGCCATTCTGCTGGGGTGTATCTCTCACAGTCCGATGACGGGAAATCCCTTCATCCTTGCAGAATTCGTTGAACTCAGAATTACAAAACTCCAGACCATTGTCCGTTCGCAGCTTCTTGATCTTCTTCCCGGTCTGATTCTCCACCAATGTCTTCCACTGCTTGAACTTCGTGAAAGCCTCACTTTTCTGCTTTATCAAGAAAATCCAAGTAAATCTCGAATAATCATCAATAATAGACAGTAAATACCTGCTGCCTCCAATGGATTCAACTCGTGAAGGACCCCAACAGTCGGAGTGGAGGTAATCCAGTATCCCCGTCGTCCGGTGGATACCCTTCTTGGGAAACTTGCTGCGATGTAGCTTCCCAAACACACAATGCTCGCAGAATTCCAAATTCTGCATCTTGTGCCCGCAAAGAAGATCCCTCTTTGACAGAACTTGCATCCCCGTTCACTCATATGCCCCAGTCTCATGTGCCAGAGAGTGGTCATATCTTCCTGATGAACCTGAGATGATGCAACTGCAGCAGAACCAGACAACACAGACCCTTGTAATGCATACAAGGTCCCACGCTTCACGCCCTTCAACACCTTCCTTGAACCTTTGCAGACATACACAACTCCACCTTTTCCTTTGAAACTGAAACCCTTGATGTCGAGTAGACTCAAGGAGATCAGGTTCTTTGTCATTTGTGGAACATGTCTGACATCATTCACGGTACAGAACGAACCATCATGTGTCCGAACCTTTATGGACCCGATTCCAACAACCTTGCAGACAGCTCCATTAGCCATGACCACGTCACCACCATCTATCTGCTCGTAGGTTGTGAAGCAATCCCTGTTCGGAGACATATGGTATGAGGCTGCAGTATCCAGAAACCACACATCCCCACGATGTGCCTTCTCATCTACAGCCAAGGCGAGATCGTCTTCAGAACTGTTGTCCGCTTCTGCCACGGCAACTGAACCTTGTTTCTTCTGTTGCCCTCTTCTCTTGGGACAGTTGTACTTCCAATGCCCCACTTCCTTACAGTTGTGACAAGCACCACCTGGCTGTGGACCGGGACCCTTGGAATTCTTGTTTGAATTCCCTTTACCAGATTTCTTCTGTCCCTTTCCACCTGTAACAGCCAAACCCGATGCCTCACCACTTGTACCAGATCCGGACGCCTTATGCCTGATCTCTCTCGTATGAAGAGCAGACCTAACATCCTCCAACGACACGCTTTCTTTACCAGCAATTAAAGAATCAACGAAATTCTCATATGAACTCGGCAAAGAAACCAGCAGGATTAGGGCAGCATCCTCGTCATCAACTTGAACATCTATATTACGCAGATCCAGCAAAATAGAGTTAAGCTGTTCGAGATGTTCCCTCAAAGGCGTACCTTCTTGCATCCTCAAGCTGAACAACCGTTGCTTGAGATGCAGCTTGTTGGTTAGAGACTTAGTCATGTACAAACTCTCTAGTTTCAACCACAAGCCCGCGACAGTCTTCTCAGCAGCGACTTCAATGATGACGTCATCAGACAACGATAGCATGATGGTCGAGTGGGCCTTCTCCTCTAGGGTATTCCACTCATCGTCATCGACCGCTGCCTTCTTCTGGTTCGCAGACAGCGGCCACCACAGCCCTTGCTGTTTCAATAAAGCCTGCATCTTGATCTGCCATATAGCGAAGCTGTTCTTCCCCGTGAACTTTTCGATCTTCATGTTCACCGACGTCATTCTTCTGAATCGAAAACCCTAGCCTGATTTCCAGCCGCGGCTCTGATACCACTTGTCAAACTGGGGTGCTCAATTAGTACGATATTGTCCGCTTTGGACCAAGCCCGCACGGTTTTACTCTTGGGTGTCCTCCCCAAAAAGCCTCGTACTAATTGGGCTAGGTGGACACTTGTATATTAGAGTCCACCTAGCCCAATTAGTACGAGGCCTTTTGAGGAGGACACCCAAGAGTACATCAGAGATTTCAGAGGAAGAGGATTCAAGTCAAGGTGGAGATTTGTTGATATGACTTGAATCGGATTATCAGCCGCTACGACTGGTAATCGGGGGTCTCGCTGCCCGGTCAGCGAGTGGGGTCCAGGGGCAACGCCCTCGGTCCATGGTGTATGGGCTCAATGTTATTTGGGTTCGGGTTCTGGGCCTGGTCTGTAACCGTTTCCTTTGCCAGATTGGATTAGGTTTAGACCCACATGGAGAAGTACTATAAATACTTCTCATACTCCTCTGTAATCTGTGATCTCCTTGATATAGTGAAACTGGCTCTCTCTCGCCCGTGGACGTAGCTAACACACATCGTGTTAGTGAACCATGTAAATCGTGTGTCGTGTTTTCGATTCTCGCTTTCGTATTCTTGCTTTGTCGATTCCTGCGTTTTCCCGATCCGTAGCAGCGCGTTTATAACAAGTGGTATCAGAGCCTGGTTCGGTGCGGGGCGGTGGACGTCAGTTTGGTGGACCCTCATTCGGTGACCTCGGGGTTTGAGATCTGCGTTTGGTTTGGTGGATCCAGGAGAGATGCACGTTTGGGCTTGGCGGATCAAAGAGAGTTCCGCATTTGGGAAGCAGATCAAAGAGAGTTCTGCGTCTGGTAAAGTCCTTGTATCGAGAAGCCCATCGATACAAGGCATCTGGCGGATCAAGATAATCGCTGAGGTGAGGACACGAAGTTCGTGGTCCTTGGCTTGAGGGGAGGATTGTTATGGGACAATCCAAGTACCACATCTGAAATACAAGGGAAGGAACCCTTGTATATAAGTGTCCACCTAGCCCAATTAGTACGAGGCCTTTTGCGGAGGACACCCAAGAGTAAAACCGTGCGGGCTTGGCCCAAAGCGGACAATATCGTACTAATTGAGCACCCCAGTTTGACAGAAGAGACTACGGTTCAAATCTTATTATTGATGTATTTTTTCTCTAAATAAGAAAAAATAAGCGTTGTAGAAAATTTGAAATGGAGTTCAAGTTTTTTCATTTGGTTTTTATTTACTGTGTAGATTTATCCATCTCCTTCACTCTAAAGCAGTTTATCTGCCCAAAGGTCACATAACTCAATTGGTGGATCTTCGTTAAGAGTTTGTTTTGAACGTGTGAGATTCTGTGTGTGATTCGTGGTTTTCCCGACAACACTAATAGATATCTTAATAGGGTTTAAGTAAGTGAACCCTCAAATTTAATGTCACTCTACTATTGCTAAGCAGTGTGTCTGTGTGGAGATGTTACTGAGAGTTATAAAAGAAAAAAGGAGTCCATCTGTTTTAATAATCGTTATAGAAAAAAGTGCAAATTAGCATATCCCATCGATGGCAAGCGAAACACAGAACGAAACAAACCGGCTTGAAGTTCTAGATGCTCTGTTTCTCCCCTGTTTATAAAAATTAGACTTTCACCACCACTGACTGTCTCCATTCCAATTATCATCTCCATGATAATGAAATCTCATATAATTACAAAAACCTTATCAGTAATCCCTGAATCCATGGCGCCCTGACCCTGACTCCTGAGGCATAAAAAAAAAAACCCCCATCTGTAAGGCTGCAATATTCAGGATAGCATACTCTGTGTCCTGACTCTGTGAACTTGCAGACAAAGCAGCATCATTCCGCCGAACCACACCCTCTCTCTTTGCCAGATTTCTAAGACCCATTCCAAGTTCCAGTTCCGTTCCCCCCACACCACTAACCACCAACCAACCTTCCAACTCCGCCATTGGCGTTTTTTGTTCTCACCTGCTTGTCCTCCTCCTCGTTACCATCGCCTGCCCCTGCAAAAAAATTACCCCCAGCCGGGCAGCAGGCCAACGCCGGCAACCCTGAAAATGGGGGAAAAGGGACAAAAGAGGAGGATAAGCTTCCACCTTTCTGTCAACCCTTTCCATAAGCAACTGTCCAAATGGATAACGACTCTTCTTCTTCTTCAAATCCTAATGCTCTGTTTTCGTTGTATATAAACCCAAAACCGGCCCTCCACTAAATTTTATGTATACAATCAAATTCAAAGAGGAGAAAAGGGGGAATCGGGCTTCAGATTCTAATTGGTGAGACATTTTCAGGATCTGAATTGGATGTGTATGGCTCATTTGTTCTCCTGCTTCGTTTGTAAGAAGCAGATTGCCGCCAACAGCAGCGACGATGCCGATTCCGATAACATCCGGCGCCACAGACCCAAACCGGTCTCCCCCCGGAATAACACCGGCGGCGGAAGGAAGAGTTCGTCTGCCAGGGTCGGCGGGAAGCGAGGGGATCAGGATAAAGTAGAATTGGGCCGTCACGCCGGCGGAGGTGGGAATCACAGGAAGTCGAACAGCCTGTCCAACTACCCAGGCGCCGGCGGAGGAGGGAAGCACTCCGGCCGGAAGCCGCCCGCCGTCGCCAGAGCTATTATTGAGGAGGAGAGTTTCATCGGTTCGCCCAAGGAGTGGATGAATAAGGGCGGAGGGAGGAAATCGGCGTCGCGTAAAGTAGAGGAGGAGAGTTTCGTGGCGGAGGACAACTGGAAGTACGGCGGCGGAGGCGGAGGGGCGGCGAGGAAATCGGCGAATGGGAGGATGGAGGAAGTGGAGGAGAGCTTCGTGGCAGGGGAGGATTGGAATTACAGGGGAGGAGGAAACAACAACATAAGGTTCAACAACAACAGCAGCAGGAGGACTACTCAGCGGAATCATCAGGGGAAGAAATCGCCGGCGCGGCGGATGGACGAAGAGATTGGGAGCTTCGCGGCGGGTTCGCCGAGAGGAGATTTCGAGGCTTCGTCTTTCAGCCGGAACTGGGAGAAGAGCCAGGCGTCGGTCAGTTTGTCAGAGTGGGCAATCGTCTGCAGGTCCAATGCCGACAAATAACGTACGTACGTACATTTGGCTTTTTTACTCCGGCCGGCGAGAGTCGATCGGCGGTGGCTGACAATCAGAATTTCCAGTTACCTTGTTTGTTATAACGACGATGATTCCTTATATATGTTTAATTACTGATCTCATATATGTCTTTTTGCATCGCTTTCTCTTGATATTTTTTTTTTGGGTGTGACATTTTTAGTTTTATTGGCCTTGGTTATTGACTTGCTAAATAAACGAATATCTTTCGTTGTTCATACCTTTCATTTGTGTTTGATACCCATTGATATGATCCTTATTCTCAAACGCGGGAACAAATTAGGAGAAAAGGAAACCCTAAAAAACGTTCCACCTCCTCCAAGATAAGCAGCCATTTTTTCCCCCCAAAAAACTTCGTGGCTAAAATCTCCTCAAACCAAAAAATACCCACTGCTAATACTAAAAAGTTGTAGTCGGTAATGGTAGTCGAATGAAGTAGCTAATTAACGGTCAAGATCACGAAGCTGAGCCCAGAACTCGTCGGAGATCTTCCTTTCCAGCCGCCACATCGCCCTCATCTTCCCTATAAACTGCTCCGCACTCTCGTCCACTTGCTCATCATCATCATCACCGCCAATATTTCCCTCCCCTGACTCCTCCGACAACGATGAAAACTGGTGGCAGGAGCAGCGCCGGCAGAGAAGAGGAGGGTCGGGAACGTGGCGGCCGGTTCCTCCGGCCAGGAGCTGAGGAGTGGGGTGTCGACGACGGAGGAGGAAGAGTTTCTTTTTGACGGTGGAGACGAGCCGTTTGATCAATGGCTTCTTTTTGGGAGAGGATGATGTGTTCTTGAATAGTTCTGGCTTCAACCAAGACATGATTAATGTGGTAATAAGCTGAAGAGGAGAATGGAATTGCCATGCATACTCTGGTTTTATTGGAGATGGGGGTGGAGGGATGAGATCCTTATTTAGCATAATTTTTGGGGTTTCAAATGATTTGTTAGGCGGCAATTATTTACTTGATTTCTGGGTTTGATAAGATAGGGTAGGATATCTTGGCTAGATCAGTGCAGTAAGTAAAAATGACAAGTTACTGGAAACCTACCCAATGGTAATCGTTTTTAATTTCTGCAACTTAAATCTTATCCATTTCAAATTCAAATGCACGTGTGATCAAGAGAGTCATAGCATTAATTCAGAGTTCCATTGTGGTGCAGTGGACTTTCTTCTGCATTCATCGAGTGGTGCGGATCATACATGGATAGGAAGAAATCAATTCTGCCCACAATTCAAGGGTTAGATCAATTTAGGGGAAAATGCAATGTTAATTAGAGATAGAGCTAATTTTGAAGACATATTGCGATATCTAATGATTCAAGGATTGAATTGCACCTGATAGAGGAGAGTACCACTCGGAACAGAATGGTTCCACTATGCATTTCTGTTTGAGTTTGTTTCCTTAGTTTTAGCAACCTCTGCGTAGGCTTTGCTATTCTGTTACTACTGCTGCTGTATATAAACTCACATTCATAAAGATAAACTCAGATCTTCTGAGACACTTACATGGTATCAGAGCTCAGATAACTCAAACGAGTTCTGTTCCCCCCCCCCCCCCATGTTCTCTCATCTTCTCTTCCTCTCGTTATTCTCCCAGTTGATCCACTATGTCGACAATTTCCAGTTCTTCCTCTTCTTTAGCTGCTTCCTCCTCTTCCTCCTTTCCCATCTCTTTACCCTCCAATCCCCAATTGACCGTAAAATTGACACCCACAAATTACTTCTTATGGCGGGCACAGCTTCAACCCCTTCTTCGCTGCTATCATCTTGTTGGCCACATCGATGGTACTCTTCCTGCGCCGCCAGAGCAAGTTGCCGATCAGCCCAACCCTGCCTTCCGCGAGTGGTATGGGCACGATCAGCTGGTTCTCATCTGGATTAATCAGTCTCTGACTGAGGCCGTCATGCCGCATATCGTCAATAAGCACACCGCGAAGGAGGCCTGGGACACGTTGGCCGCTGTTTATGCTTCCGGGTCGCCGGTCTTCGTCGGGATCTCCACCATCTCCGCCGTGGGACGGATTCAGCCCACGATTATCTTCAACGTGCCAAGATGATTTTTGATAAGATGGTCGCTCTGGGTGATCCGATTAAAGAGGCGGAGCTGGTGACCTCTGTGATTGATGGCCTGGACGAAGAGTATCGACCTTTCACGCGGAATTTGGAGGCTAGGCTCGAGCCTGTGTCGTTTGCTGATCTCAGCAGCCTTCTGTTGAGCGAAGAATTGCAGCTCCGCCGATTTCAATCTGCTGCTGGTGGTGGCGTCACTCCGCAGGCCTTCTTCTCCGGCAGAGGACGCGGTGGTGGTCGTTCTCCTCGCGGCAGAGGGGCCCGTTTTGGTGGCCGCTCTTATTACTCCCCGGGCCGTTCTTCTAATCCCTTTTATGCAGGTTCATGGCCCATCCAAGGAGGTTTCCGGCCCGCTTCCTCTAGGGTTCTAGGAGCTGGGCCTCTCGGCCCGCCCACTATGATCTGTCATAATTGTGGTGGCAGGGGGCATATAAAGCCCAATTGTCCTAGCCCGGTTTACCAGTCTCAGCCCATTTACCCCTCTGGTCCTGCATCTCACTTAGCCCAGTCCTCTCACCCAATCCACCAGTCTCAACAATGGCTTCTTGACTCAGGCGCTAATCAGCATCTTACTTCTGATCTTGACAACCTGATTCATCATTCTGAGTATACTGGCACCGATCAAGTCACTTTTGGCAACGGTAAACGACTTCCCATTTCTCATTCTGGTTCTTCTCATGCCACGCTTTTCAATAATTCTTATGTTCTCAACAATATTCTTCGTGTTCAACATGCTCCTCATAATCTTCTTTCCGTGAGTTCTTTAACTCGTTCTAACCCCATTTCTATTGAATTCTTTGACTCCTATTTTGTGATCAAGGACCGCCACACGAAGGCTGAGCTCTATCGAGGATCTGCGACTGATGGCCTCTATTCTCTGCCTCTTCATATTCAAAGTCGCGCAGTTCCTCGTGCTTTCACTGCCTCCCTTGATCTGTGGCATCAACGGCTGGGTCATGCCAATCTTCGTGCTGTTAAACAACTTTTGTCTACTCATTCAATAAATTACCATGATACTTCTGTTTCTCTATGCCATGGTTGTTCTGTCAGTAAAATTCATAAACTTCCTTTTCCCTCTTCTCAATATCGTGCCTCTGCTCCACTAGAACTTATTTGTAGTGATCTTTGGGGTCCTGCGCCTCTTCTCTCTCATGATCATCAATCATATTATATTTTGTTCTATGATCACTTTAGTAAGTTCAGTTGGGTGTATTTTGTGCGCTATAAATCTCAACTTCTCAGTGTTTTTATTCAATTTCGTCAAATAGTAGAGAAATTCTTTGGTCTTCCCATTAAAATTTTTCAATCTGATTGGGGTGGTGAATATCAGACATTGACTTCTTATCTTTCCAATAATGGCATAATTCATCGTTCTTCTTGTCCCTATACTCCGGAACAGAATGGTTGTGCCGAGCGCAAACATCGCCATATTGTTAACAATGGTCTTGCTATGTTACATCAAGCGAATGTCCCTCTCAAGTATTGGTCTCTCGCTTTTGAGACTGCCTGCTATCTCATCAATCGCACTCACACCCCTCTTCTTAACAATTCTTCTCCTTTCACTATCTTGTTTCATACTTCTCCTGATCTTCTAAATCTTCGTGTTTTTGGTTGTCTCTGCTATCCTTGGATTCGTCCTCATAATTCTAATAAACTCCAACCTCGTTCTACTCCTTGTGTTTTCTTGGGTTACAGTCGTTTGCACAAAGGTTATTGGTGTCTTGATCGTTTGACTGGTCGTATTTACGTCAGTCGCCATGTTCTATTTGATGAATCAGTGTTTCCATTTAAAGATCACCCCACTAGCCCACCCGAGCCTATTCCTTCTTCATTTTTCTCCGAACCTATCAGTCTACCTCCTCCCCCTTCCTTACTTGGCCCACATCCACCCCTTATATCCTCTCCTGGCCCATCTTCTCCTTCGTCCACCAATCTTCCTCCACCTGGGCTTCGGCCCCACACCACCATCTCCCAGCCCACTATCCCCTCTCCTTGTTCCCAGCCCACCACGACCAAGTCCTAGCTGCCTGTATCTTCTTCTTCCCCTCGGCCCTTGATCCCCTATCAGCGCCGCCCTCGTCCTGCCCCTACCTCACCGCCACCGCTACTGCAATATCACCGCCGCCATGTCCCATCCCTTCTCCCTCAGTCCACCACCCAAACCTCCTCTCCCCTGTCCTCTCGCCCACCATTCAATACATCTCCTCGAATTATTCCACCAGCCCCCCCTCCCCCATCCCCTCCCCGACGCATGACTACTCGGACCCAGACTGGTAAACTTAAGCCTCGGCAGTTTCTTGCCGCTGCTTCTTCAGGAATCCCCAACACAGCTGCTCAAGTCTCCTATTTGGCGGGCTGCCATGACTACTGAATTTGACGCCCTCGTTCGTAACCACACCTGGATCTGGTTCCTGCTCCGCCCAACTGTAATCTGCTTACCAATCGATGGGTCTTTGCGGAGAAAACCCATCCCGACGGGTCGATTGAACGACAGAAGGCGCGACTGGTGGCTAGGGGTTTTCAGCAGATTCCCAGGCATGATTTTGGCCAAACATTTAGCCCGGTGTTAAAACCGGCTACACTACGCCTTCTTCTGGGCATAGCTGTCTCTCACTCCTGGCCTCTTCATCATATTGACATCTCCAATGCCTTCTTACACTGGACTTTGCATGAGGAAGTATATATGCAACAGCCCGCCGGATTCATCGACCCTGAACGCCCTGATCATGTTTGTCGTCTACGGAAGTCGATTTATGGACTACGGCAGGATCCCAGAGCATGGTTCACGTGCCTGTCCCAGGCTCTTCGAGATTTTGGATTTGTTGCCTCCAAGACGGACCCCTCTCTGTTTATTTATCGAGCTAACTCTGTTCTTCTGTATATGCTGGTCTATGTGGACGATATTGTCATTACAGGCACCGATTCCACCGTCATTCAGCAGCTCATGACTCATCTCCGGTCCAAGTTCGCATTGCGTGATCTTGGGAAACTCTCATATTTTCTTGGCTTGGAGGTACATTATACAGCTGCTGGTCTCCTTCTTAATCAACGAAAGTACATCCTTGAGTTGCTCGAACGATCCGGCATGTCGCAAGCGAAGCCTATTGCCACTCCCTGCACTGCTGATCAGTTGATTCAGAGTGCATCGGATTTATCTCCTGCCTTTCATGATCCGGGATTGTACAGAAGCGTTGTTGGTGGTCTTCAGTATTTAAGTTTCACTCGTCCCGACATATCCTTTGATGTGAACCATGTCTCCCAATTTCTGCACAGCCCAACTGATGCGCATTGGGTAGCTGTAAAAAGAATCCTCCGTTATCTCCAGTTATCGATCACTCAAGGTCTGCTATTTCAGCGCTCTCTCAAGCCGCAGCTCCATAGATATTCTGATCCGTCTTTTGCCTCCTGTCCCCGCGATCGCAAGTCAATTTCTGGTTTTGCAGTCTTCTACGGTCAGAATTCGGTCTCCTAGTCAACAAGGAAACAAAAGGCTGTTGCTCGGTCGTCTACTGAGTGTGAATATCGGGCGCTTGCTACTCTTGCATCTAAAGCTATTTGGTTACAAGCTCTTCTAACCGAGCTTGGCCAGTCTCCCTCTACGGCACCCGTTCTTTGGTGTGATAATCTGGGGGCGGCTTATCTTGCTCACAATCCAGTATTTCACACTCGCTCCAAGCATCTAGAAATCGAGTTTCATTTTGTTCGTGACAGAGTCAACAAGCAGCAGCTCCATGTGCGATATCTCCCTGCCACTGATCAACTAGCAGATGTGCTGACAAAACCACTTTCTCGTCAACCATTCCGGAATTTCTGCTCCAAGTTTCACCTCACCGAGGTTCCACTTGCGGGGGCGTGATAGAGGAGAGTACCACTCGGAACAGAATGGTTCCACTATGCATTTCTGTTTGAGTTTGTTTCCTTAGTTTTAGCAACCTCTGCGTAGGCTTTGCTATTCTGTTACTACTGCTGCTGTATATAAACTCACATTCAATAAAGATAAACTCAGATCTTCTGAGACACTTACACATCCTGCAAATATAATATGTGTGGCGTGGTATTTAGGGTACGCATAGCTGAAGAAATTGAGAGAGCAGAATGAATATCAAATGAGTTCAGCAACAACGATTACGGTGTATTACCCTGCTACGATAATGATACATATGGAACTGACAAAACTGTGAAATGTATCTCTACACATGATAGGCAAGCTACGAGGCACTAATTTACTAAATTACATTGAGCGACACACCGAGCAGTAACTCAAAACCTGGATCGAATCAAGCATTATACATAGCTCAAACTACCACAACACGCTCTCCTATGATTTGTAAGAGACCTGACAACGAATCTCCCATAAGCCCTTAAATCCTGATTCTAGATGACACTTGAGAATCATACATGCTGCCATGATCCAGAGGTGTATTCCTCTTAGTCGTAAGGGTTTCTGAAGTTCTTCAAGAGATCAGGGATGTCGTACCCGAGCATGTCATCAACAGCTTGGATCATTTTGGGCTTCAACTTTTCAAACTTGTCGATGTTGTACCCGCTCAAAACCTCCTTGAACTGCTCTACATTTGGGAAATCACCTGGAGGTAAGTGAAACTCCCTTTGAACCTGTAAAAACATTGAAGGTCGACTGGTGAGCTTGTAGTGCAAGAAGAAAGGGACGAAAATGTCCAATTATTTTGAGGCATTTAGAGAGGGAGAGGGGGGGAAGAGACCTTTCCAAATTCGTCTGCCAAATTATCAATTAGTCTTTGCTGAGCCTTTGCTTTACCCATCATGGATGGCATCTCCTTCTTAAGGTGGCTAATAATGTAAGCATGTATTTTTGCAGCCCGTGCACGCTTCACAAATTCATTGATCTGTTACAGGAAACCATCATTAGTTATTACCTTAAGCATAAGCTCCAATTAAGTGATTGTTTCGAAAACCAGAAAACTATCTTAAATCTCATAAATGAGTTGCAGGGTTGTAATGATTGATTGATATGTTTGTGAGATTTACGTTCAGATACTTTATAAAGGTCGAGGATGTAAGCATGTGGTTTAAACAGCGATTATGAAATATTCCAGGACCAGGTCATGTTTCAAAACTTCAGAAAAGAAAACAGAGAAGGTACTCACTCTTCGATCACAAGCCTTCTTGGGAATATCTTTTAGATCAGAGAGAAGGTCAGACTGTTCTTTCTCAAAAAGCTCTTTCCCAAGTGGCCCAACAGCATTTTCGCTTACTGGTTTATCATTGAATGAGCTGCCAGCCAATGAGAAGAATCAACATTGGTCATAAAGACAGCAGATAATCAGTAACAAGATAGCAGTATATAAGTCAAGGAATCAAACAAACTAAAGTCATGATGATAGCACATAATATTAAGAGCATAACAAATAAGAACGCAAGCTTATGTATGTCAAGGAATCAAACAAATAATCACGCAGCTGCGATAACAACATAATGAAAAATGTGCTCGTTTGTGAAGTGTGACACCCAAAAATTACAAAAACACAAAAATGTAGAATATCATTTCCCCCCTTCGATGAGCCTAGAAACAGGCCATAGACATTATGAGGGAATAACCAAGCACTCTAAAGATAGTTTACTTCTAGTTAATTGAACAACTAGCCACAAATTAATATTGATACTAGCACCCATCTTATAATTAGTACAGTGGAAGATAACAAAGATCTCAAGAAAGCAGAAGATAAAGAACCCAATATTATATGAGATCAACCAAACCATCATCTAATGAGAGGGCATCGGGTTGTTCATCAGCTATGCTAATTTCATAACAGATTCAATATAGACTGGTCTACATTTCTCCAAACCATGGTTGTCACGCCGGCCGGCGTGCCACCGGTTGTACCAGGTTCAATCGATACCGGTCATAAAACCGGCGTAACACCACCGGTATGACCGGCATGATCGATATTCGAATCTCTAAGTAAAATGACCTTATTTTAGCGAATTTAATTGATAAAAATTATTTTATTATTTATTTTATGAGTATAAAAGATAAATATTGATGTTATTTGTTGGATTCAAGTATAAATATTTAGGTATTGACGTTAAATGTCATGTTTAAATATGAGGATTTATAATTTTATTTGTAATATTGACCGGCATGAACTGGCACTAACCGGTATGTGCCACCGGTCGAACCATTCCACTTGCTAAACCGACACACTGGCATAAACCGGTTTGACAACCTTGCTCCAAACTGAAGGCTGTATATGTGAACATGAATCAAGAAACAATACTATGACAAATAAATACATACTAGATAATTGGCCCGCGCTTTGCGGCGGGTAACAATAAACATGTCATAAAACTCTATTTTGTGAATTAGGATAAATTAAATTATTATTACATTTTTCGACTGTCAAATTCTTACTTTATATTTTGATTTTATAAATTTTATTTAGAAATAGATACCACTTTGTCTTTGTGAAAGATTTTGAGATTCTTATTAAACGATTTACCATCTACATACTTTGTTTGATGTATTTTAGGTAATTGAAATAAATAATTTTAAAATAAAACTTATAAAAATACTCATAAAAAGTCAAAAATAAAATCACCAAAATATTGTCAATATGTCTTCTTATAATTTAAATACATATACCATTATTATCAAGTTTTTAATTTAAACCATTTTGTCATCTCAAATGTGTGCTCTACAGCAAGATGATTTTATCATAGCATTTATCAACCAACTAATTAATATATTGTAATAAGTGTTGAAAATGAAGTATATCTTAACTTTCGGTGTAATTAAAGTTCCTTAGTTTTTTTAGTTCTTAAAAAAAGAATTTGATAATTATTTAAAATACCATGTAAAAATTTTAATTAATATGTATTTAACTTGTTAACTTCACTGAGTGGGAGAGGTATGAGTCGATTTCTATGTGCCATCAAGCTACATATAATTGGTGTCTTGTGTGGGGCAATCATAAGAAAAGAAAGTTTTATATGGTGGCTCATTTGCATTGATCAAGATCAATTAATAATAATCATTATTATTAGTTTCTATCAATTCAGGCAAAGAGCATGTAAAACTATGTTTATGTTTAGAGAATTCCTCAATGAGGAATTTTACAATGCTATATAGTATTGGTGCTATAAGTTTTTGCTTTTATGGTACAACTTGAAATTGTACCTATACTTTTTGTACAAATTCTTTTATGGTACAACTTGTACCTTTATGTGATGGTACAACTTCAAGTTGTAAAGTTGTACCATAACATAATAGTACAAATTCTCTTATGGTACAACATGAACTTATACATTTAACATTATAGTACAACTTTAAGTTATATATTAAAGCACCAATACTTTATAGCATAGTAGAAGTGACCTTCCTCCGTTCCATCGATCTTCAGTTACAAAAGTTGTTTTTTCAAGGAAAGGCATCTTGCTGGATCTATGATCTATCTATCCAAAACAATTACATATATTTTTCTTATAATGAAAAGGAAAGTATATATCTTGGAACGAAATAATCACTCATTAGTTAAAACTCAGAATACGAAACTTGAATTTCATTTGTAACTAATCAATGTAATTGTTTTATTCTTTGTTTGGTCGGCACACAGAGATATAGCTCATGCAATAACCCAAACAAAATAATTTCAATCTTCCTAATAATAATCATTATTATCAGCTTTATTCTTTGTTTACTCTTAAGATATAACTCATGCAATAACCCAAACAAAAAATATTCAATCTTCCTAATTACTTGACATTTGTTTAGCAGGGTAACTCCATCTCTCTTAGTCATACACGTGTAATATTCACTCCATGCAACAAATGGTATCCAACCAATTGGACTTCCTTCCTCTTTCCTACTACAACCTCTAAAATCTAGTTTCCAAAATGTGGCCCATTCTTACTCTTATAATCCCACAAATCCTAGAGGGAGAAGAAGATGATCGAGATGTTTGCAAGAGCAAGTTTCACCTTCTTGAGTCTGCATGCACGAATTTAAAGCAGCTAGCTGAAGGAACAGCAGCTGAGTTTCGAAATTGGAGGTAGGCTGGGTTTTGAAATTCAAAGAATGAGTTACTTGCATGAAGCCTGAAAAGTACTGGTGCTTAGAATTTCTGTGGTTACTTCGTCGTCATTCAACTTGGTCGGAGTAGGAGAAGCATGCAAGCGTTCATCATGGACGTGGTGGATTGGGGTTTCCAATGTCAACGGGTCGGCCAAGAGAAAATTGAAGAGGTGTCCATCTCTCATGGCTTCAATTTTTGTCGCCCAACCTCGATTTGCATGCGTGGTTGTTCAATTTTGTTCATAATTCTCTCTGACTTGCCTCGCCACCATCGTGTAGGGGAAACGGGGAAATTTCTTTTGGGAATCAGTGAATTCCGATGAACTACCTTCTGGAATTTCAAGCGGCGGTAGTCTGCCGAGATGTGGCTATTGATTCGTTGGGGAGATGCTGGGAGAGAAGAGGTAGCCCAGCCAAGCGGTTTTACGGCGGCAGTGGCACTTGCCTAATCGCCAGCCGTTCGAGTTGAACGGTTCGACAAAGGGGACATAGGAGGAGAAAGGAGAAATTTACGGTAGATTTGAAAAAGGTGTAGGGTACTTATGGTAAACCTCCATGTATCCTACTGGACCCCTTATACCAATTAGGCGCTATTTATATTATATTATAATTTGTGGTGTGCAGCTAACATGAAAGGTTGCAAATTGACATCACATTATAACTAGTAAAATATATTACTACTAGAAAAGCATACCCGATATAGACACGCATAACTTCAGGAGTATTGAGGACTTTCCCCAATGACCACATCAAGGCTCCATAAACTCTCATTAGCTGCATTCAGAAACAAGTGAATTATTAAAATACTGCACAGCCAATCTTGTCATCTGCAAGTTACTTGGAAGCTTTCTTACTTGCTGCGTATCAACTTGGTCTGCCTTGTTCAGAACCACCCTAATCTTGTCATCATGCCCACGTAAAGATGAAATGACACGCTTGAACTCGTCACTAACATCAAGTTTGTGAGGATCAAAGAGAAGCAAAATAAGGTCACACTTAGCAGCGAACCATGACGTCACACCAGTAAAATCATAAGACCGGTGGATTCGTTGCTTTTCTCCAGATAACACTCCAGGTGAGTCTACAAATGTGATATGCTCCAGCAGCTTCACCAAAACAAAACTCAGTCTCACACACTAAAAGTTGACCTGAAGATGGCATCATCCATCATAATATGTTGAGACTTACAGGATGCGGCATTTGAGAACATTCAAATTTCGACAGAAATGCAGTTCCAAAAGTTGTTAGTCCACTGTATGGCATGTCTGCCTGAACTGCCACAGTATTGCCTGGAATACTTCTCTCATCTGGTCCAGACTGCATAAGAAGAGATCGTTAACGTATTATTACCAAAATTAACTGAGTATTAGGTGGAATGTCAATTTGGAAACAAGCGCGATGAACAAAGAAAAATGTCTGAAATTATCATAGTTGAGTAGAAGTTACAATTCTATCAATACACCTGTCAGGCATTAATTAAACAAGAAAAAGTAGTTATTAAAAGAGATAAACACCAGCAAGCATCGAGAATGGAAGCTTGGTGCCTAATAGCATAATTTTGTGAGCTACTTATGTGAATATAAATCTAGAGCAGAGTGCCTCTGAACAACTGAAACATGTAATAAAGTTTTAAGCAACTGAAGAAATTTTTTTATTGGGAGCTTCTCAGAAACGCACAGTTAGGAAGCACACAAAGTCAACGAAAGAAAGATCAAACCCCACCAGCCAAAAAATCCGCTGCCCCAGTAGTTCAGAACAAATGTTCCATCTTATGAACATGAAGAATTCATTGTCTGTACAGATATTTCTTTCGCCAGATATGAAATACATATGATAACATTGGAAGGTATGAACTCCTCAACAAGAAGGAAACTCATACGGACTTAACAGGTATTTGCACGGAAGATTGTAACTTTATAGACTCGATACAAGAGAATGACTTACTAAAGGCGAGCTGTCCATTCTCAAGGCTAAGCAGACTACATGCACAAAGTCAAATTTGATGAAGTATAAAGATATAAAAGGGCTCTCACAGTACCATAACAACAACAAATCTGTCTGTGGTAGGTTCAGGTCCAATATGAGCTCCTGCAAAAAATCCCAGAACGAGGAATGATATTTAGTAGAAGGAATATGATGCCTTCCAGAGTCTTATATGTGCTCCGAAGCAAAGAAGTCTCACCAGGATAGCTACTTTTAAGTAGATGTTTAATGAATGTTGTTTTCCCTGTGGAGTACTGGCCCAATAGCATAACCATGGGCTTGGCATCAAAATCACTATTTGTCTGCAATAAACAGCATATCAACAAAATATCCCAAGCATGTAAAAAATATCCAAAGTACAAAAAGCCCACGGCTAATGATATGCACATCCAGATAGATCAACACTAAGCAAAACTAAAATGGACATTTATACTGACCAATAGTGGAGATACAAAATCATTAAAGCGGTAAGCAACTTCCAATGGTTTCAGCTTTTGAAGATACAACTTCTTCAAACCATCAATTATGGATGTCACCGAGGATAGTGGGACCTGTTCATTAAACAAATTCAAACAGAGAGGAAATTGAAGGTGTTAGGGAGATTGTTCCAGTGATAAATTGAAGAAAACAAAAACCATATGCAACATAGGGACGCAGAAATAGAACTGGAAGAGGTTGATGTGCAATTATAAGATGCACATCAACCAAAACCATATGCAACATAGAGACGCAGAAATAGAACTGGAAGAGGTCGCATGAACAATGAATGAAATAGCCGGAAGAAGGTTACACAAACCATGAATATGTGGAGACAGAATATTAGAGTCCATAGATTCCCTTAAAGGGATTCCTAGGAAAAGGTAACGAAGTGTGAGCAACACCATCTCTAGACTGCTTCTCAAGACAGTTCGAGGCCTAATCTAGAATTAAGGAATGGAGGATATAAGTCAACACTAGTGAGAAAATTCGGTATTCCTGGGAACCCTTACAAACAAATGGAAATGCATAACGGTATCTCAACACATAGAACCTTCAGGGTAGCTTTGTATCTCAACCTGCTGCTACCACTTGACACTGCTATAGACATAAGCTCTACACAGGAGGGCTAAGCACCTGAGCAACAAAAAGGAAGCATAGGATTTCTCCTAGATGTGTAATGGATAAGGTAACCTTCAGCACAAGCTAGCTCACTATATGACAACCAACTATAGCATCATTATCACACCAAAAGAACGATCCAACAGAATAAAAGGAACAAAACAAACCTTCTTTGCAGATTTCGTAGAAGAAAACCAACGTACCGAAGGTGAGGTTTCAACCGGAGGACTACCTGCATTTTCACCAGTCAAAGTCAGTACACAAGCATAAACCAAATCATAAATATGAATCACTACCAAATTTTCTTACCATTAGCATCAAAATCAGTTGATCTGGAGGTTGACCTCTTTTTCTTCTGCGCAAAAAGGGTTTCTAAAGCCTAAGAAAGATCCACTGGAAAGAGCAACACACACAACAGTGACAGAGAACTTACAGCCAAAAGCTCCGCTAAACCTTCCATCATGGGAGGAGGCACATTTTCAAAATCAACTGCAGTTCCGATCAAAGATTGGTCCAGGTCAGCAATAATCATCGGAATTAGACAAGAGAAGCTCAGTACCACCTACTACGCAAGAAAGAACAAGTTTGAACATCTTACCATCGCTGTGCAGGATTTCACTTGATATCTCCTTCCCGGATTGTGCCAAGGTGACTAACTAAACAACCAAAGCAGCACATGAATCAGGAAACAATAATCAACCTTTCAACGCCAGAAGCGCGAAACAGACAGAAAGAGGGAGAGAGAGAACTCTAGTAATGTAAGACCTGCATAGCTGCAACGAACTCTTTAAAGCCAAGGTATCCTTGCCTCTTGGTGTCCGCCATAGCCCACACCTTCACAACAACAACAAACACAAATTATCACCGTGAAACAAGGAACTAATCAACCTCAAGCGACTAAAACCAAGCTCCAACAGCAGGAAAAACTCAAACCTGTTTAAGATCGGGACGAGGCAAATTCGACATGCCGAAGAATTTAATGGCGTCGGTGCCAGTAATTCTACCGTCTCCATCTACAACCAACCAACACACACAACAAAAGTGAATCGTTTCACTTCATTTCTCCCGCAGAAGAGCAAATGAATCTAAAGTAACAGTGATACGGGACATGTCATTTCCTCTAGAGTCTAGAGGAACACTACTTACCTGAATCGGCGTAGTTGAACCAATCCTGGTAGATCTTCTGGAACTCTTTGTTGCAGGAACCGATTGGAGAAGGAGTTATCTCCATGGCGCACCCCCGCCGGAAGATCGGAATGAACAGCAGCTGCTATCCACAGAAACGGCGAAGGCGATTGGTGCCGGGGTTTTCGGTTTCGGTCGTTTGCTTTATAGAGAAGGGCGCTTTGTAGGGGTGTGTTTAAAACGTATAGGTGTGAGAAAGGGAATTTTTTGAACGCGAAGGTAGGCAATTTCAGCAGTCACTTTCTGTTCTTCCCCCCACCTCCTTCTTTTCGTTTTCTTTTATTTATGTTTTTTGGTTTTTCTTTATTTTTGCCGTTAATATTCTGGGAAAAGGGATTAGAAAAACAAAAACAAGTTCTTTCCGCCAACGTAAAGTGCCCCTCCGGGAGTTCGGAAAGATGGAATGGAACCAAGCGGCAAGCAAACGACATCGCTTTCATTTTAATCTCTCCGGCGACACCGAGCATCGGATTATGCTTTTCCCCGATGAAATGGAAGAAATAAGGACTTTTGAGCTGTGACACTGTGGCGTTTGTTCACTCCGTTAGTTCTCAATTCAAAGATTTGGTTGTGTGGTGGCATTTGAAAGTTGGAACAGTACCATTTTGAGGTATCATGTTTTGACTTGTGACTTTCTTGTTCGCCGATTCTCTTTTTCTTTACCAAATTATAAATTTAGCTTTTACTTAGGATGATCAAAAATACTCTTGCTTGGAGCAAAGTTCTTGCTGAAGAAAATGTTATAAGCACCGATAATTTCATGTGTTTGAAAGTGTACATCGATTAGACATCAAATAGTGACGTACTTGCCACGATCCAATCCTCACTAAAGGCACATCTCCTTAATCAGTGATATATTTGTTATTGATCCTTGTACAACCCTATTTGGGGGACCTGCAGAAACCCTCGTCAAAGTTATACTCCCCAGCGGACCCTCCGACACTCGAGTCTAAATCAACAACGGAGGTAACCTTCCATCGGTCTATCGGTATCATGTGGATGAGGATGTTGTGATATGATATGTAGCACATGCTTAGTTGTCGTGATCTTAATGTCAACAAGCATAAGGTGTCATGGCCCAACACCGCATGCTAATGGTATTATTTATTTGATCTTGGTGCCATGAATTCAATGTCCTCTTAGGTCTTGAGTGTTAAAACACTCTTGATGAGACAATGGGGGTTATATCTTTACCTCAAAGGGGCATAACATCTTACAATAACGGACCTTTACCACCAAGAGTCGCAATGGTAAAACCCCATAACCTCCACAAGATATCGTGTATTGACACGCTAAAACACAACACCAAACTACGATCAAGTATAATCGCAATCCGGAAATGCAGAATAGTGGCAAGTTCAATTTATCAACCTGAGGTCTAGATCTACTGCTTACTCCGTGATTATCTATTATCTAGCGGGACTAAGTTTAGTGAGAGTGATTGTAAACAAAAGCATTAAGAAATCAGGAAATTGTTCGGTTTTCAAAATCAATGGGAGAGTCACTCGGGAATGAGTCCCCCTAGCTCCTCAATTAGGTCCAAGTTGTAATTTCCTTTGGTTGATTTACTGTTGATTAAACTGCGGAAGATTCGACGGTAGCTTGGAATCTCTTAAGCTGACCAAGCCCTCTCAGACAGACTAACCGGCAGGCGACTAGCCTTCATCGGGATAGACTGCTGAGACAATTAACACAGAACTCCACTACTAGAATTGGATTCCAGTACAAAGCAATGAATCGATTAACTCTCGTATAATCAATTCACTACTACCGATTGAAGAAGCTCTTCCTAATCAGATTCTATTTATCTCAGGTTGCATCAGAAATCAAGAAAAGTTGATCAGGCTTCAATTGACTCAATAAACACACTTCAATCGATTATAATCAAGCAGTATCTCAAATCAAAAGTCATTACAAACATGATCCCTGACACATGGAACTAGGGTTCTTCATACCCAAGTGAGAGAAGGGTCTACTCCATAGAGAGAGAGAGAGAGGAAAACAGAATTCAAAGCAGTCATACTCATAATGATGGGAAGAATCTACTGTGGGATGACAATCTTCACTCCAAGGACGAAATCCAACTTGATTGATGAAACTCAACTCCTAAATCAATCCTAGGGTTGTTCTTCGCACTTTCTCTCTCTAGGAGTCTGTTTTTGCTCTGAAAATTTGTCTCCCCTCCTTTGGCTCGAATCTTCCAGTTTAACACGATAATGGTCAAAACACGATCGAGGACACGGTCGTGTTTAACTCTGTTCGCCCGTGTTCTGTCCTCACGTGGGGAAGTACACGCTCGCGGCGAGTAAAACAAGGGCTTGCCCTAGGAGTGACACGACCGTGTTTCAGAACAGATGCGCTCGTGCTTTGGACTCCTCAGCAACAGTCACCAGCGAGCTCTCGGCATAAATAACACGGGCTGGGGACACGACCTTGTTTTTGGTCAATGCGCTCGTGTTGGCTCCTTGCATCGATTCAGCTCGCGCACTAAAAAGCACTGGCATTCCCCTTAGTGAACACAGTCATGTTCTGGAATAGTCTGCCCGTGTTTTTGCTCCAGCTTCACCAAATGACCTCCAAACACCCCGAAACTCATGCCTAGCCCTTCCTTCGACGTCTGGGACCTGACATGTGACAAAATAGCACAACCCATCGTAAAATAGGCAAAAAATACACTACTACGAGCCGCAAACAGATAAGAAATAAGGGTGCAAACATATGCAAATACATTTTTATCAAATTCCCCCACACTTAACCGTTTGCTTGTCCCCAAGCAAACCAAGTCAGACACAAGGTGCTCAAAACATTTTAACCATGCAAGCTTTAGGGACATATCATATCGGCACATAACACGTGAATCATACTAGCTTTTAGTCATCAACACATGAACAACTTCAACGGCAACCTAGACAACCACCATAGATGACATTCGAGTGCAACAAAGTCGAGCAAAGGAGGAGTCTCCCTTCTGTTCACCAACCAACATAGACTTGAATCAACCACTTATTCTAGACAGTCGCCTCATGCATAAAACTCAAGACATCAGAATCAAGTTCGAGCAATCTAGGTCCTCATCGGGGTAAAGAGTGTAGAGAATATAAGGAAATGAATCGCTCACTCTCGACCAGTGGGGTCGGGACAATTTGATGCGAATATTGTGCATGCTTATTCTCTCAATTCCTAAAGTCTCTTCACCATGACGGCAGCCTCTAAATGTTAGAGTTCACATATCGGGTGTTACCACTAACTAATCCGGAGGTCTTAGACATAGGTTCAGATTACTGGCTAGGGTCTTGGACATGGGGAAAAGGCTTTTTAGGTGATGGAAGTATTCATAACATAAGGTTCTCACAGTTCCAAACCCAAGACAGTTACCATCATTCAAACCATTTACTTTCTTTCTGACACTATGCATTGATCAAGTTCTTCAGGCACAAGAGTGAAGGAGGTCACAATAATGTTAGTATTTCTAAGCCAGACTACTAAGAAACACTAATTAATGAGCATGATTCAATTTTTAGTAGTGGCTCTCTTTCACTTTCATTCATTTTCTTTTCTATATTTTTTTCATTTCTTGAGAGAACCACCACCTCTACACATTTTTTCACACACATGCCCAGCTTTTAAGAACTACCTCCAACCCTCATATTATTTCTAGCAGAAACAACAGGGAACATGCAAAAACCACTTCGTGGAACCTCTAAGAGATGCAAAAAGGGTGATTTTTCATTGTAGACCGAAAGAAAGAGAGCGACACGGCTCAAAGGGGCTGACTAGGGGGTATGACACACCAGGACAGTCAATTTGGTAGTGGGTTATTCCTATGTCTCCATCATCCTAATTAGTGACAGCGTGAATGCTACACATCATGGAAGAGAGATCTATCGCACAAGAAAGAAACGAGCAGGCTCAAATCTCACATGGTTACCTATATGCTCTATCTCTCATTCTGATTCCCTGAACTAGATGCATAAACGACTGTCAAGAACAAGTGATCAATCCAAGTCACAGTTGGTAAGCAAACAGTTGAAAAACTAAACCCCTATACGACTCTACTGCACGTCTCAGTCATCATTATAGTTTGTCCTAGTCACAATCCATTTGCCATGCTTCAATTCTAACAACCATTTGATTCACCAACTAAACCATAATGGCGATATGATCATGCCAACATCAGTACTTGGAAGCCTCAAATCTTGAGATTTGGACAGCGAACTAGGCTCCAAGCACACACATATACGTTCCAATAAAGTCAAAGCACCCCCACACTTAAGTTTGACATTGGCCTTAATGGAGCAGAGGGAAGGGGAATGATGTTACCATGAAATGAAGATCAGGAACAATGGAGCAGACCAGTCAAGAGCAGGGGACTGGAAAGGGACCAGTCCAAAGGCACAGAGCTAGAGTCATGAATACACACACACTGGGTGAAAGAAACCGTAGTTCCATGTCTACAATCCAAATATAAAAAAACGACGGGGATTCTCAGTCTTGAAAGGAAGGGAAGTACATAACCCAACAGCCCCACTAGAAACACATCACCACCATTGCCCGTGGGAGGTGGGTAGTCATCCTCATGTTTAGGAGACTGCACGAAGGGGTAGTGGACCGAGTTCTGGTCCAGACCCAGATAATGCATGATGTAGTGCTGGTTAGACATGAGACGGCGGCCGCGTTCCCGCTCACGATTGAGACGGGTGTGAATATGTTTTTGCCCAGCTAGAATTTGCTCATTGTGACGAGCAATGGCTGCTAACTGGTCAACAACGGAGATCGCGGGGTGGAAAACGATCCGGGGGTAGCGGTACAAGGACCCGTGTGGGCATGGGCACGACGGCGGGGGCCACATCGCCCCTAGCAGCACTCGACTCCGACCGGTTGGCGCCGACAGTAGCAGGCGCAGGCGGCCAAGGGAGACCCTTGATCCATGTCAGAGGCCCATCATGTTCGAGCAAATGCTGATGGCGGAGAGTAGCCTCGCCGAGGGGGGTCGGGCCGCGGATCATGGTCATGTCAGCAGTGTCGACCCCATAGTAGCGAGCAAAG